AGCAAGCTGAACACTTCATTTACTTGGGGAGTCGAATCAACGTTGGTGAATGATAGACGAGATTTCAGTACACATATAAAAGCCTGATTAGCTTTTCACAGCTTCTGCCATCTGTGGAGCTATTGTCAAATAAGGGTCAAGTACGCTGCGCGAAGTTTTTAACTATTGGTCTGAACTGTTTAGAAAAATGTAGACTTTCATGTTGGGGTAGTCATGACCACCTATGTCAGTGATTGGCGACTCAAAATCGATCTCAATAGTGCAAATGTATAGACGAATTATCTTCACCCTAATTGACATAATGAATTCACTATTCCCTTATTCCTACTTGTTTTCTCTAGATGAGATTTTACCGATTTTCACTGCAATCTCCCTTATTTCTTCAAATTTGATCTTAGAGCAAAATCGATTAACGTATATGTATGAGATGTGGCAACTCTGATCATCAGGTTCCAATTTGACGCTGACAAACTAACTGATATTACCGATCATATGCAAATAAGATATCTTTCCAAAGCTGCACAGTTTGAAGATGAGTGCTGGCGAAAACGACAAATCTCACTAAAGTTTAGTTCAGTCTTCGACAAAAAATGGATCATCCAACTACTTCATTCCTTAGTTATTACACAACCTCTATATTCCTAAGTTATGATCAATATTGAACGTTTAAATGTCTGTAGTACCATGCTGCTCAAGAAAACCAGGCAAGTTTCACACCTGGACGAGGGTGCATCGACCGCGTTTTCCTATCCGACAGGTTCTGTAACACAAGCACATTTGTTAGAGGCTGACAGTAGTCCTATTTATTGACCTGAATGCAGCATTTGAGGTGTTGTGGCAGTGCTTGACTGTTAAGAGGAGTGCCAAGAAAGTAAATAACTCGTATCAAAGATCTCTACTCGAACTCACGCAGCCGTGTCAGGGCTTATGAAGAGTCGTCACGTACATTCACGACAACTAGTAGTATTCGCCAAGAATGTTTACTGTAATCGTTTCTATTTAACTTCGTCATTGGCATATGTCAAATGTAAGATGATGCTCTAAGACTAGTCTGCTGCAAGTGCTCCCAGTTTCATGACAGGAAGTGAAGTGGTGAAATGTGTTGACCACTTCACTTAATCAGGGAGTTTCGTCAGTCCAGACGAGATGGTTGCTGACGAAATCCCAGCTCGGATACAGAAGGTCCGTTCGGCATTCGCAAGCTCTGGTGGCGACTGTCAAGATATCCGACTATCAATCACTTGATAAGCATGCTGTCCTGTAGTTCGTTCTGTCCTGTTATACGGCTGTTAACAGTAAATACATGGAGCGGTTACAAGGTTTCGATCGCAGATGTCTTTATAGCATTGCTTGTGTGGACGATATTGAGGTTAAGCAAAACGAACAGGGTAAGTCGATTGGTGAGATTGTGAACTTTCATCGACTAAGGTGACTTGGACATGTACTGCGTACGTCGAGCCACCGCCTGCCTCAATGTGCCATGCTAGAAGTTGGGAGAAGGTTCAGGGTGGCCAGATCCAGATGTGATACTAGCCGATGAAGTCTCTAACTGCTGATCTGAGACATGTCAAGAGATGTAGTTCGCCTGGCTGTGGTCTCCCAAATGACAGGAATCAGTGGTTGAGGACTGACTCTTGGTGAAATTGCTGAAAATCTGTCACAATGGCACAGATATATTCACTCATTAACGTCTTCTAAAGCAGGGATATTCGCACTAACCTTCGTCTTCAAATTGCTTACTCTCTCGCATAACTTTGTCTACTTTCATACCATATATCCATCCACCAGTTCTTTGTGTACTGCTATGAAGTGTGGCAACTTGAAGCAATGAACTTGTATGCGAGGTTCTACGTTGATTTTGTCTGTTGGCTATTCTTATTCCTATCATAACTAGGATAAATATTGTTATTGTCATTTGGATAGTTGTTACCTGGTATACTTCATTACCTTGTTACCGCAGGGAAAACAATTCACTATGATTGGTTGGATGTTTTAAATAAAAGAAAAATTATGTGTATTAAAGTGGAGCCTGATTGGAAATAATATGGCCTATAAATCTGTGCAAATATTTCCACAGTCACTATCAGCTGACGTCATTTGTCAACAATAACCTGACGGTTACTATCAATAGTGTTTCCACACTAATATAACAATGTGTAAAATGTTGCAATGATATTGACATCGAAAAATCAAAGCCGAAATAATGCTGCTGATTTACGAGTGACTCTAAAGGCCACCACAGTAACCACTGAAATAGAAAATTATTTATGAAAAAGCCATCTTTTCATTCAAAACAGAAAGCTAAAATTGCTTATTTTAGCAGCTGCTTGGGTGGCCCCTAGAGTTGCTTCACACTTACCCAGAAACAAGTTTCTGGACTAAGCCATGAGAGTTTATAACTAGATTCGATCGTCTCAGCCGAAAGTTTCAACGCGCAAAACAGTTTGAAAACCAAAAACCTAAGCCATTTAACCATGTCTTCACTATCCTTGACTCTAACCCCGCAATTTTAAGGTTGACAAATATTTTGTGTGACCTATTTGTGTAAAGTGGGAATTCTCAATGAAAAAAGAAACGGGAGACAATGAATTTCAACCACTGGTAATTAAGGTCACAAGATGGATGTGTTTAGGACTGAAAGGGTGGGAAAAAATAAGAGTAGATGGACAAAAGACAAATGAGGAAGCTGTAAAACACTGCTAATAAACTAAAGCAGCACAAAATTTATTACCATGAAGAAAAGAGTAACATAAAAACTTGTTAAAGCAAACTTCTACAGTAAACAAGCAGCCATTGAAGCTGGTTCTTTAAATTCCGATCTAAACACCTGGTCAAAGGCTCTTTTCCGTAGACAATAATCAATTTTAGTTGACTGATACTTGTCATTTCACGTTGCTATACTGAGTGGAATTGCTCGACTTCTGTTGGCAGATGGACCCCTATGCCAACGCTTCGATACTGCCTGGCTATTCATTTTATTTGGTTGCTAACATTGGAATCGAGGACGCACGTTTCGTTCTACCTGGGACTCGTCAGCCGTACCCAAAAGCAAACCGGCGAGTGACAGTGTCCCCACCGAAACTTGAACCTAGCAGTCACTGCTTCAAACGCCAGGATGTTAACCACCAGGCCACTGAGGCACGAGAATTACAACTTGTGAAACGCATAGGAGCCCATCTGTCAAGAGGTCAAGCAATTCGACCCAGTATCGCAACGGGTTATTACAATCAATAAAAAACAACAACTGATACAAGCGGTGGCCCTCGTGTTCCAGTGAATAATGCTTTGGCGTTTGAAACGAGAAGTACAGGGTTCGAGTGTTAGTGGGAACAACACCGCTTACTGATGTGCAGGTACATCCAACTGATGGATCCTAAATGCAAAGAAACATGCATCCTGGATGCCGCTGCTAGCCATTAAACAGTCTGCAATATAATGGTCAGTTCTGATCAGGGCACATCAGTAGCATAAGAGAATGGATGCATAGATTACAGTAGAAAATAAACAGATATTATGAATAGATTGTTCTACGCTTGTAGTTCCACAGCCTTTCGTTGCATAAACATTAATGGATTCATTGCACAATGACTAGAGTAAGCTTCAATTCTGTTTCTAATCTTTAGCTTGAACAGTAGCTCTGCGACACTGAACGTTTAAGTGCGCGTTTATCAGAGTGCATCACTAAATAGGCGTTTTTCTCAATTCTGAGCGGTACCTGACAATAATAACCACGCTTGTCATCTCTCTTTTGCAGATCGGACAATATACTAGTCATTTAAGACCTATGTAACTGATAGGTGTGCGTTATTTCCAAAAGGCAGAGTGTAAGATTGTTATGAAGAGCATTTAATAAGTTTTTTAACTTATCAACTCAACAAGCATGTTCCACATGAACTTATTCTGCGATAGACATAACCAGTTTCACACTAAGCTCTAGAAAACTAACACCATAACCAAACTGAATTTCCCTTAGGATCTTTTATACGGGCTGTTAGATGAGTAGGTTTACATAATGTAAATGGAAAGAAAAAACAACTGGTCACCATATCCATCCACGTTCCTATCATCTGAAAACCAATTGCAATTAGGCATAAATCGCATCAGAAACTGTGGAACCACGGATCATTGGTCAAGTCACTCAACTTCCAATCAGCTAACTGTAGGTTTGATAATAGGGAACTTCCTCCACAGCTTAATTTAGATTACAATATTTTGTTCTAGCCATCACTTACATACCACTTTCCGTGTTTACTGTGTTTTCAAACAGATAATATTCAAATGAACAAGCGATCACACAATATGAAATGGGAATATAGCTGCCTCTGAAGCAAATAAGAAAAATACTTTGATGTCTGTCCGACTCAAATTGATGATCCCGAAAATCCTTTTTTTAAATGGATTAAACTAATTATATTTCCTACTATAACTGAAAGTTGACAAGATACTGAATGCACATAAGGCGTACGACAGGCTGGAATACAGTTATAAGAAAACGGCAATTAAAGACATTCGAAAATTTGTTAAACATCGCATTTAAATAGATTTTTAAAAGTTTACTGAAACCGCCTGATGTCCGTTTAGACGTTATCCCAACTGAGAATAAGTAGGTAAGGCAAATCCTAATAATCAGAGAGTATGACTAAAAGGTTGTAGTTTAAGTCAGTGTGTTAACGATAAGTATTTTAAAACTATTAACGGATAACGGGGTTTCAAAAAAACAAAAAGTGAATTCTAACTGTATATTTGAGAGATCTAAACAAAACAAAACAGCAACGTTCACAAACATACACATCAGGAAACAAGATTATTCTATATATCCCATCATATAATAAATGACATGAGAGTAATTGAGTCTTACATAAGTACTCAATCACACATTACAACGAAACCTTGTTGAGTTTTTGGCTTTCAGTTACAAAAATAATAGTGCAGTAAAACACGTTACACTACTCATGTCTACGGTTTCCATTGGCTTCTCAGTTGCTTTTTCCTACTGAGAGTCATTGATTTGCACATTGTGTTGAAGAATCGACTCTATTAAGGATATCATCAGGCACCTAAGATAAATGAAAAATACACATGGATGTTTGCAAATTTTGTGGACAAAAAAGCAGAAACGAAGACAAAGTTCATCATGAAAGTGACACTCACAGATGAACAAAACCAACGTAGTCTAGTATGCAAAGAACAAGCAGAAGGAGAAAGATTCGTATCACGGTAGATAAACGTGTGAAGGTGGAGAAGGAATTTGGATATATCGATGTTAGTGCAAATGCTCAAACTTTCAAAGACGTTAAGGACTGGTGTCAAGTCTTGGTCTGACTGCCCAAAGTGTTCCACCCATCATTCAAATCGCCTATCGATGATGGTTTCACTCACCATTACCTTCTTCTTACCCGCATCCTTAATAAGCTGAAATAACTGACGAATATTACCTAATGCCGATATTTGCTCCATTTCTTCTGCGTTCACCATCCACCATTCCAAGCAAAAACTGATAAGACTCTTAGTCAATTTACAGTTCGGGTGCTTTTTTAGGTCACAGCCTGCTGTAATGAGTCTTCTAGCATCAATCAGTTCAAATAAGATTGCAAAGTCCACTGGCATTTTCTAATCTTCAGATACACGTTACAAAATTTCTCCGTCACTGTTTGTAGAGCAGGCTGAATATCACGACAAGCTTTATCAAGATAATAGGTAGTAAGTTCAGACAAATACTCCGCGACCTCCTCTTTAAATATAAATTTAATTTTCGCATCGCCCAATCAAGCACACACATGACATAAGATAGTTGCAGTTTGAATTATCCTAACAATCCTATCGAAATGCTCTCTTATGGCCTGTGTTCACATCCTTTACCATGAAAATCCTACTCAATACATTCAAATGGAGAGGATTGTTTCCACAAAGTGAAAGGGAGAAATTGAATGTACGGCGCTACAATATATATATATATATATATATATATATATATATATATATATATATATATATATATATATATATATATATATATATATATATATATATATATGGAGATTACACTTTACGGAGTTAGAAAACGATTATTCCAAGCCAGTGTTGTAAACTAGCCTCAAAAACATGGGAATGCACCACCATACGCTCCTTTGTGGATCAGATATCAAACCAAAGGCATGAGGAATGTTTCTTCAAGACAACCACCTGCTTCTTTTTTAAGTATCGAGGACGTATCACAGCCCGCAAACATTTAATGAATAAACATTACCGATGAAGACTATCCTATGGGGTGCTCATCAAATCTTCCTCTACAAATCAAAATTCACGGTGCAACGAACTGCCTACTCAATCAAACCATTTGTCTTCAAATAGGTGTTATTCTTGTTTATGAACTATGCATCTGCTTCATTATCGTTTTCACTTTTATTTTTTGTTCCACTCAACTCCTTGTCACTGACTTAAATCCTAAACTGTATGTATCATTTTGAGTTATCAAATAGTCGTTTCCAGAAAGCTGTCCTTTAGTGTGCATCTTAGCTGTTCTGAAACCTCTGACCAATTTCAATGTTCAGACCTTGATCCAGATTCGACAATAAACAGGTTTGGTCAGGACTCCGGAAAGCCTCACTACTGATGTATGCTGTACTTCAAAACCCACATACAAGATCCCAGTAAAGTGCTTCGAATAACTTATGTATCTATTACCTGAAAAAGTGAATTCATAGTGCGCTTATCCAGGAACTCTGTGGCGTCAGCAGCTGGCCACGCTGCAGTTGTAATGAGTGCCAGAGCTGTAGCCGCATCAGTCGGCTGAATCTGCATCAACCTGTGCACTACTAAGCTAGAGGGTTCGATTACAGAGAGTAGTAATTGCTAAGGTAAACGATATCTTCTCGTCATCTATGCCTATGACCATATTGACTGCAGTAAGGATGATTTCTACCATGAAATGAATGACCTCTCCACCAGGTACAGTCAACAGATATCGCAATGGTAATTGAGAATTTCAATATATGGATGTCTCTGTGCTCGAAGCAAGGTAGATGAGGTGGCTAATAGGGATTAGTCGGTCGCATGTCAGGTAATAGGCAACGCTTTCTGCAGATCTCAACATATTTCTAGCTAGTACCAACTTTTGGTTAAACCATCGCCGTAGGGCTGCGTGGCATCTTTATTCTGTCACTCATACCTGGACTCAGATACATAACGTCGAAATTAGCTACCGATGGCATGAGTACATTCAAGACTGGTGCTCTTTTTGAAGCCCCTATATGGATTCTGATCACGTTTTGTTGTGCGTTAAGTTCATAAATTCATCAACTAAACCGCCGTTCTAAATAGTTCGACGTAAGCAAACTGGTTTTCTCCAGTACTGCAACTGAATATCAAACCGAGAGATCATGCGACTCGTTGCATTGATACAATAACAGACATCGTCCGGATTCGAAATTAGTGGCGATCACGCTGCAGCTTCCTTGTTTTTCCTGCTATCAAGAAAGAAACGACAGTAATGAGTGTGTTTCTGAAGGCATCTTTGACATTGCTTTAATAAACCAATTCTGGTTTTGTTCCCATTTTTCTCATATGTTTCGTTCCTTTTTTCTTTACATGCCACAGTTTTCGGTTCCTAATTTTACCAAATGTGTTCAAAAAATGAAAGTAATACATAGTTCTCGTTGTTATCTGCTTCTGTGAGTGAAACGTTGAAAACACACACCTGCTCGTACTAACGCATGATCGGAATCTAATCAGCTGTTTCCAGAAAGAGCGACAATCTTCCACCGATCCTCTCCAACGACGGTGTTCAAGTAGTAGTCCATTTATGTTCAGCGTTAAATTGATGTTGCAGTACACTAAAAATGCACCGTTTTTGCTCTTGATGTTTAAAGTGATTGCTGGCCAGAAAAAATAAGCTTCTAAGAACAAAGCTGTAAAAGATGCTATTGTTGGACACTACAGATACTTTCAAATGTCTTGTTGTTTAGCTCAGATTCCTCAATTGAGTGTTGAAGTCACGCATTACTAGTACTATGACTGCACGTTGAGTATTATTGTTGCAAAATTAACAGTTTTTGATAGGACTCATCCTTTGTATCATCCGAACTGGAGTTGATGAACGGGGCAGGTGGCGGTTATGAATAGTCATCGGCGAGTATCATGAGCCTTTCCAGTTCTTACCAATCTATCCATTCGAACAGCACAAAGGCGTTTGTCAAGGTAGCCACTGAATCATCAGACACTCAGGTGGCGAATTACGCATATTCATCACATTAGTCAGATGAGGTCGAATGATAAACTACACTTGAGCCCTGTATGCATATCTCATAAACATAACATACATCTATTGCTCAAGATTCCGAAGTTTTGACAGGTAGTGGCTGTTATCCGATTTGACATAAAGTTCGGACGTTGAAAGTCTCAAAGTGAAATGAACAAACGGGGTTTCAGGAGAGTAAAACTGCTTATAAAAAGCAAATAAACTTTGATATTTGTCTAAAATATAGACTTAAGAGAAAATGGACACCAAAAGATGTGTCTTACAAAAGTGAATATAATGAAGACACGAAAATAGAAACAAGAACAGAGATGCGCTATTGAAGAGGCAGTCTCAGAAACACCTTCGAAAAGGTATGTATTGCTTTCGTTTTGTTTCCTCATAACAGAAAAATAAGCTGCAACATGAATGCCACTGGTTACTAGTCCAAACTGTATCTGTTATCATCTTGATTGAATGAGGTGTTGGATCTCTCAAACCCCAAACGAAGGAGTCGTGAGGTGTCAATAGATGCTAAAGTAACACAACTATCCTTCACTCCACAGTACCTTGTCAAACACTGGTCAGCTATCTGCCTTTTCCAAACAAGAAGGAAACCAATAGTTAATTAATAAATGAGTGAGTGAACTTCGAAGTTTTTAGACGCATGCAGATCAGTAGAACAGTCCGCTCATATCAGTATCGATTCAACAAGGAGATATGCAAACCATTCAGTAATAATAACAAGGATATTGTGCACAAAATTCCTGATAAGCAAAAACACAAAACAAGAGAAGTTACCTCTTCACATTTATCCAAATGACAACGAATAAGCTGAATAGTTGAAGGAGTGATCGATGTCGCCAAATCTACATTATACGGGGGTGACGTAACTATGCGTATCATACCAGTGAGTTCGCTACTGTCAGCTGTAGACTTGGCTGAAAATAAAGCATAAGACTAACTTAGAAATCGCGACAAAAACTGTATCAAAGGAATTGATTTGATCTGGAAGGACAAAAGAATTGTAGGATCGAGACAAAATCAGGGGATACACATAAGTAATAAGCTGCATCTAAAATACTGTGAAGGCTGGTGATGCTAACCACCTACCTGAATCACGGTAGACGAAAGAAGGTTCAAAACCAATGACTAGAAGGCTGAAAATCGACTATCTAGACCAATGAGCTATAGGATTACCGGAGATCACACTGAATCAGCAACGCTTAAAGTTACTTCCAGTTGTAGTGGAACGATTACTAGATTATGCAGTGATAAGCTGCCAAACAATGAATGATAAGTTTCTAACCAACTCTTTTCATGTCCAGCTAGCCAGTGAAGAAAACGAACGCTGGATTGAATAGTAAATTTAATATGACTGATAGCCTGCCACTTTACGTTAAAAAATTTATCCCTTTTTTTATAACCGTCTTACCAATTCTGGTACCGTTACATTATTTTGATTCAGAAGACTTCTGAGAAAGATTTAGTCCTTTCTCACTGGCCATTATTAATCATTTTCTCCAATAAGGTATAAAATCACTGGCACTGGTCAACGAGATCAGATAGTGACTGTCTAACCTCGAAATTACACTTCAACTCAGATTTCATTCCATCCTAAGTAACTATCCATGCATGCTTACATAGTTTTAATGAGACAAAACTGAACGAAATCACTGTAGGACCACCTCGCACACAGGTAAATCAGCTCAATTTGCCACATTTCACAGTAGAATACAAAAAACAGATGCATACAGAAACATCGGTATAAAGGTAGACTAAGTTGTGTGACACAATAAACAGCCTAAAGATACACGTTAGTACAGATGTTCGAGCTTTAGAAGACATCAAGGACTGAATATATCTACACCATTGTCACCAATTTTCAGCCATATCACCAAGAGTCAGACATCAACCACTGAGTCCTATTGTCAACAGGACACTAAACAGACAGCCTATATCTTTCACACCACGCTTCAGATCAACAGTAAGAGGTTTCATCGACTGGTTCAACGTCTTAGTCTAGTTACCCTCAACCCTCTTACAACCTTATCCAACTTCTCCTAGCATCGCGAGTCGAGTTAGACAGTGGCTCGGCATGTGCAGTATGATGTGATGTTCAAGCCACTTCAGTGGATGGAGGTTCAAAGTCTCATTATTCGACTAGCATATGTGGCCCAGTACACTTCGTCTGACTTCAACATTGCTCACACAGTGATTCTGTCAAACGCAAGCAATGCTACGAAGACATATGTGATCGAAATCCCGTCATCGCTTCAAATCTACTTTCAATGGCTGTCTAACAGCCGTACAACAGGACAGAACAGATTACGGTGTTTGTTAGGAGATACTTTATTAAGCAAGAGTGATTCATGAGAGAATATTTAAATCCATACCTGCAATACGTAAACAATTTTCGAGAAATTCCGGGATGTGGTCAGGATCAGTAGTCTGCATAAATTTTATTGTCGAATGAAATGAAGATGCTGTCAAAGGATATAGATGACTACCAGCTAAAAATTCGGTTGGTATAGGTTCAGTAATCTGAAACAGTAAAAAAGAAAACTGTTTGAAACATATGACATAAATTCATTATATTGTGTAAATAAAAGTTAATTGAATCAGAGGTTGATTGTACTGATTTGATCGGTCTCAATACTGCCTGTATTTTCAATTTCGATATAATTGATGGATAGTGGCTAGCAGTGGAACCCAGGATATGAGTTTCGTCCTGTAAGGAAATCATCAACTGGATATACCTACCTCTCAATGAGCGATGTTGTCCTAATACTCAAGTTACGATTGTTTTGTAGTAGGACAATGATATTACTTGATGAATTAGGATAGACTATATAAAAATGGTTGGATTGGATGAAACTTAACACAAAGATCAATGTGACTACATTACTTCGGCGATGCAACACGTCTCTTATATCACCGCAAAATAAGAAAATACTTAATGAGTAGTAGTTTTACAGTAACTGTTAGATAAATTGCATATCTTGTTTTTAAAATGCAGAGTTTTGCATTCGTAGTGTCTTCATCATACTGTCACACACCTAGGAATCAGAAGTAAATTCAAGGATCACAGAAACCAATGTTGATACCGCTTGAATATTAAGGTAAATACTCGATATTTCGTGGGAGCGATGTATGCTGTCGACACAATAAAATATGATTTAATTTTTATTTCCAATACAAACTTATAACAACATGAGAACTAAGAAATATAACACAAGATCACATAAACATTACTGGGTAAGAACAATACTTTTAAGTCAGTCATTACGGAGACTTTACAGTTTTAACAGCTTACAACATATCAGTTCATTTTGATGGAAGAATTGTCACAGTACACAGTTTATTAGCTAACCAGAAAATTGATAATTGCATGATGCATGAACTTAGGGCTCATTGATCTATGCAATCACTTTTAGATAGTAGTAAAACTTGAGCAGTGCGGTCGATTGTAATTCCATTTTAGTCCGTTTCTTAGAAATGTTACACAGTGAAACAGTATCGTTTACTGAATAACGTATCAAACATAATTCTAATAAGCAGAAAAAAAATGTAATTCAATTTCAACCAGTGGGTTAGAATTCCACTCCATCCACTGAGCTCCAGATAGCAGTCAAACACAATAGGTGTAGAACATTGCCTAGTGCATGAAAGTGCAAGTAGTTCTTGATTTGTGCATGCATTACTAATTGAATTGAACTTTCTTATGATGGACTGAAAACCTCGCTTGGTTAACTAGTTCACTAGTTTTTAGCCGGTCCTAAGCCCACATAAAGAGGGAAGGTTGGGCATAGGGCTAGCAACCCTACACCGGAAAACAAATCTAACTGCTAAACAAACTTCAAAGCACAAACAAAATATAAAAAATAGTAACAAAATTATTCCTCGCTGGAATTCGAGAGGCGAAATGACGCCAGTTGGTGAAAGCATGCCTTAGGGAAGCCAATTGGCCGATGTGTCTTCTCTCCTTCGATGAAAGCGAAAGTGAACATGGGGACATGGAATGTCCGCAAGATGTTTGAACCCAGTAAGGCAGACCAGATTGCAAAAGAGATGAGAAGGTACCACACTGAAGTGCTTGGAATTTGCGAAAGCAGATGGGATCGGAGCGGACTCTCCAAATTGTCAACTGGAGAATCAATAATCTACTCCGGTCACCCAGACGACAACCACGAGCACACTGAGTTTTGGAGTGGCTATCATGATGTCCTCAAGAGCATCGAAGGCTCTCATGCAGTGGGAACCAATCTCCTCCAGCATCAGGATCATGACAGCAAGATTCAACTCAAAAGGAAGGAAGGTCACAATCATAGAACGCTACGCCACACACCTACAAATAATGCAGAGCCAGAGAAAAAGGAAGAATTCTACAGACAACTCCAATCAACACTGGACAACACGTCAGTTGGCGATATCAAAATTCTTATGGGTGACATGAATGTCAAACTGGGAGGGGACAACACAGGAAGAGAACTAACCATGGGTCGAGAGGCGCTAGGCGAAATGAATGAGAATGGAGAATTGTTTGCAGAATTCTGCGCATTCAACGATTTGGTGATTGGAGGCAGTGTGTTCAAGCACAAAGATATCCACAAAGCGACATGGATTTCACCAGATACCAGGACACACTAAAAATCAAATCGACTTTATCTCAATCTCAAGAAAATGGAGACGCAGCCAGCCTACTGGACACAAGGTCAAGAAGAGGAGCAGATGTAGGCTCACACCACCCACTATCTAGTGCAAGGAACCTTCAAAAACAAGTTAAAAGCCTTCAAGGAAGCTGGTGATAGACCTCAACTCAAGTACAACACTCGGAAACTGAAGGATGAAACTACAAAGGAGATCTTCAAGGCAGCCATCAAGAAAAAATGGGAGATATCGAGGAACATCCATGAAGAAACCTGTGTGGAAGAACACTGGAAGTCTTTGAAAGCTATGTGGAAAGAAACCTGCACAACAGTATTAGGAAGGAAGAAGAAAGAAGACAAGGACTGGAATGGATCTCGACTTCAAGTGAATATAGAGAAGACAGAGGTGATGAAGATACCGCACCACCACCATAAAAAACAACAACAAACTCCAATCACCATCAACGGGAGAAACTTAAAGGAAGTAACCTCCTTCACCTATCTAGGCAGCACTGTTTCAACTACAGGCGGCACAGACGAGGATGTCAAAGTCAGAATCGGTAAAGCAAGACAGGCGTTCATTAGCCTCAAACCAGTGTGGAGATCTTCTGCACTCAGCATGCGGAACAAGATACGGATTTTCAACACCAACGTCAAGTCAGTGCTTCTGTGTGGTTGAGAGACTTGGCGCGTCACGAAAGGGATTTTCAATAAACTACAGACATTCATCAACAACTGCTTACGCTCGTTACTGAAGATCAGATGGCCAGAAAGAATAAGCAACAAGGTGCTCTGGGAACGAACCAACCAAGAACTTATCACGCAACAAATATGCAGGAGGAAGTGGAGATGGATTGGGCATGCACTGAGAAAGTCGACTGGGGACATCACGCGTCAGGCCCTCGAGTGGAATCCCCATGGGAAGCGACGAGTTGGACGCCGAGGATGACATGGAGGAGGTCGTGCGAGGAGGAAATGAGAGCTTCTGGGCTGTCGTGGAACCAGGTTCAAAAGATCTCAGAGAACAGAGTGGAATGGAGACGTGCTACTGAAGCCCTATGTTTCACTAGGAACCCAAGGGACTAATAATAATAATTATAATAATAATAATAATGAGGGACTGAAAATAGTGAGAAGAATCAGTTCGATTCAGCCGTGGTTCACGTAGAATAAGAGTAGTCAACAGAGAAAAAACTAGCTCACACATAATCTAATTTGAAAAAATAATTATACATATATATATATATATATATATATATATATATATATATATATATATATCACTGATTGACATCAGCTGTAGAATCACTGAAAACTTCGGTGCACTGGAGAACTGTTACGTCTTAGTATATGACTCCTCAGCCGTATGTCACCAAAGCCTCAGCAAGGATCCAAGTTGGGACTTTCAGATCTCTTGGCGAACAAGTTAACCATACAGTCATTGGGCCAGGGTTCAATGGTCCACTGTTTTCTACTTCTATCAGTATATATACCAAGAAAATAACTCGTAATACTACTTCAACGTTGGGGAATTTTCTAAATCTTCTAACTGATCATTTTATATGCATGGAACACATTCATTGGACTGAAACATAAATTAGGAAACTCACTCTGAAGGCTGATCCGGCGACGACTGAAATAGCAAATTAGGTTTCTTTATTTCCGTTGGTAACGCAGATTTTTATAGAACACATAAGTCAAGTTGGTTATTTTAGTTATTATCAGAGTGACCTTTAGAAGCCTTCACTATAGACAAGAGTGAGAAGCAAGCCCTACGCATTTGACTTACTTTTTCACACCTGCTATCTGTTTGCCTGATCGATATCATTAATTGAGACTGCAAGAAGATATTGTGTACGAAAGTATTGCTGTGGGTGATCAGGATTACAGAGAATGAAACTGTAATTTCGAACAGTTCGCCCAAGTGACTGGCTGTGGAAGTTCAGTCTAACATCAGCTAAAACTTTAAGACAATGATCTATTTTCTCAGCTAGCATTCGTGATAAGGAAACGTTTTAATGTGTTACAGTAAACATTATGAATAATTTATGCAAAAGTAAATCGGTAACATTACTCACTTTAGTTAAGTCCCTAATTTCATTGTATAATCCTCGGTTGATCAGAACTCCTGCTAAATGTGAACTGACTGAACTAATTCCATTTTCTGAAATTCTGTTCACGATTGCTATCACTACAAGTAAATTGTGAAAACATATTACACGAACACAGCAAACATTTATATGAGTACAATTGTTGAATGTGAATAAAAACTTTTGCTACATATTAGGGTCATGACCGGACAGTCTCGCTAGCTTACTCATCGATCGCTGATGACTGATGATCAAGGATATCCAACTGGTAACCATTCTTCAATTTTAGTTAAATCAACAAGCTTGATAATAAGTGATAATTGAAGATGAAACGGAAATTTGGGCCGCAACAGGACTCGAACCAGTAGGATTAAAACCTGATTAGCAATCGGGTCTTGTAGCTCAATTGGTAGAGATCACCAGGTCAAAAACCTGATGGTCGTCTGTTTTGAATCCTTCCGCATCCAAAACTTTCATTTCAGATTCAATCATCATCTAGTATCAATACTAGTCTGCCAAACTACGGATATCTCAGATGGTCAATATATATATCAATTAGTGTTGACATTGCAAGTACATACATTCACGCAAAAAGATAACATATAGTTCGAAAAACGTTCAATGTACATTACTTACAGTATTTTGTGTGTTCAGTAGGCCAAAATCGAAATAAAGTATCCATATGTGGACCACAGATGATACTGGTCAAATGATCCGGTGACAATAACAATAATTTCCTTACCATCTTATAAGAACTGAAAATATCTCCGATATAAACATCATCACCCCTAGAAGTGGAATAAATTCTAGAAAATGAAGAAAAAGCGTGTCTTTCAATGATGGATGCACAGTTAAAAACGAAAGTTTTCAAAATAAATTAGACTGACAAAGTTGAAAAGTATACGAAGACGAATATGCGATCTATACTGAAAATATCTAGATTAGAAGGGAAAAGGTCATAACGTTTTAATCATTTGGAATGTAAACCAAACTATCTAGTATACGGAGAAACAACCAGCTTCATATGAATCGATCACTAGATAGAAACCAATGCAGCTATCGAGTTTATAGCGAATGCCATTTAAAAACGAAGTTTAGAATGTGACCACTCAAATAAAGGATGCCACCCTGAGGTTTATTACATCATGGTTCTAAATATTAGAAGTTTGCTGAGTTATTCCCGGTAGTCAATCCGTACAAATAACATAGTCCCAACCCAGTGATAGTCTGAATAACTTAGTAGTAAAACCTCTGACTTTAGCAGTTAGTGACGTAGGTTCAATAATCGAAGCAATACAAAGTTTGCTTATAGCTGCGAATACGCATTTTCAAGAAATATTAACAAATCGGAAAAACAAGATCTTAACCTTTCTGCTGATTGATTCCTACCATCTAACACCAACATGAGGTTTCCTTTCAATCCTGACGTATAGAAACATTAGATACTGGTTATATAACAGGAAAACAATAATAATACAACTCATTAACGAATGATGGAAAAAGAATTTAGTCTTGAGGATTAATAGCACTCCGAATGTGGATTGAATCTCCATTGGATCCACTGGATCAAATGTACTGCTTTAAACACCTATTTGTCAATCATTCGGTTTGTCACTTCATCATTGCTATTTTAACACACGAACTGTATTACCTTTTCGTAATTAATTTCAAATTCACTTTTATTTGTATCGTTTATTCACTCAGTTGTTCATCACAGACTAATTTTTTAGTCTGTCTACACCATCTTAAGTTGCTAAACAGGTGCTCCCAGGAAGCTATCTTTCAGTGTGATATTTAGCTTATTCGAGACATAAAAATGTTACCCTGTGGACTTAAATGCATAGGTTCGATGGAGAGTCTATTTAGGTCACCGATGGGGATCAATCACTTGCCGAAGGAACAATATGGATTCCATATATTCCATATATCAAACCTCCCTCTGGTCTGGTAAAGATTTCCAGCACAGATATCACCGCTGTACTATCTGGCATCCTTCTTCAGCCGTTCATGCATGAATTCAAACAGATCACATCACAAATAGTTAACATTATTGAGTAAATTCAGGACTGCTATTGCTTCAAAAGTGTTCAGATTTCGATAGTACCTAATGTGTGTAAAGTTCCTCTTGAATCTTAGTGCCACCCCGAACAGGACGAAGTAAGCAAGCCAAAAGTCTTTTGCATTGCAAATAAATAACAAACGGTATAAGACACAAGGTGGGTTCTCGAAAGCACCGATAGGCATTGGCTGAATCTGCCAGACATCATGAAAATGAAGGATAGATTTCCTTGCAAGTTCAAAGGATGACTTGCTAATGAACACTGAGTTTCTGTGAGTTCTTGCAACTTCTTGACCTCGTCAGTATACTCAACCAGATAGAGAGTACAATGGTATGTATGGGTCCCTTATACGATAGATCATACAGCACTTACGAAAGGATATCTTAGTGGTCAGAATGTGCCAGCGAAATTAAAGCAGAAGTAATATCAGGAAATAGTTGAAACCCATTTTAACTCATGAGTAGCCGGCAGCAGGAAACTTGATGTCAGTAAGATGGTCGGTAACGTAGACGGCGTGCCGACGACTAACTGTCATCGACACCTGAAACACTAGTGAGGCACCTCGAAAAACAAGCTGACTAGCCTCCTGTTCTAGAAAAGTAAACTTAAGACATTCGTGCTTTATAGCAAGTTAACACCAACATATTAACGAAGCGGAGGTCTGAAAAGAACTCTCACATATAAGGCGTCACAAGATACTACGCCGAAGAAACTTCTCTGGTTCTTCTCAAGGAGAAGTATGACACTAGGGTCAGGGAACTAACTATATTCTTAGAGAAGAGATCGAAGACTGAGCGTTTTATGAATCTAGAAGGAAACTTTCCACCTACTTAACTTTTTAAAAGGGTCTACAAAACGTTTTTGATGAATATTGAGGTATCAGTTTCCTACCAGAAGCTTATAAAAACTGGTCGCCATCAATCAGATTTTCGGCTGTACAGTGAAAAAAGTGTTCAAAAATTATTGGATTCTTACCGTATAGTACGTGCAAGGTATTTTAATGGAGCATACTTTGTTCCGTCTTCTGCCGATAAAGTTTGCAAAACACGTCTGACAAGAACTTCTGCTCCAAGATTCACAAGATTATGCAAGAGCATCACTTTCCCTGTGAAAAAATAAGAACAGAAAAGAAGAAAAAAACGAAAATATCTTACATTTTTAGATCTTCACTGTCAGTCTAACAATAATAGTGGTGATGCCTTCCAATTTCTGAAGCGTATTTACTCAGAAGACTAGTTTGTAACTTTGAATTTCAAATGTGACTGCCATCACAACATTCTGTAAACTTGTAGACAAAGAAAATGGATGCATGAGGTAGACGCCAACGTGTTATTGTCTTCTTCATTAGTGTGGAAGTGATAAAAAGTGTTCAACTTCTGATCAATTATGTGTGATCTGAAGGCCGTTTGATATAATTTAGTATATGAAGGTAGGAATGCCTCAGAAACATTAAATCGCAAAGTACATATGCTTGATTATATCCACACAGAAATCACGATCAGTTACTCAGTTGAACTCAGGTAGCCTGAAAGTGGATAGGGGTTTGATGGCAAGTTCAAAAGTACGGTGTGAAACTAGCGAAGTAGTGTTCAGGTAAATGACTTCAGAGCAGTTATTTTATAGTGAAGTGAATGGACATAAGGTGCAGAAATATTGGAAATCTGGTAGAGTTGGACATTTGTTTCGTCACAGAAGAGGGACTCTTCAGTGATGCGGACCCGCAACCCCACGAGGGGTAAAGCTAAGTACTATCAGGTTTAACGATGAGCTTATTATTATTCGGCTACTAGGTTAAAATTCCAATCTATATTTTCCTACTTCTTTCAATTGACGATAAAGTGCAACTGTCATCTTATGTAACAGATGAGTAGTTGTTCACAATACTGACTTCATTAATACCAACGGTCACCAATTCTCAATATAATTCATCTAGAAACTAGTCAAAAAACGGAGTTGGACGGTAATTCAATTAGTGGTTTTTCAGGAAATCAACTAATTTCAAAGTAATTTTCGTTGAGACGTCCAGAAGATGGAAATGAAAGTTGATGTTTACTCATGGTTTTTGACTAAAGGCATGATAAGTATGTTTTAGACTATATGAAGAAGATAAATAGATCAACGTAGAAGCTGGTACAGAAGTGCAGCGTTCCGAACGGAGAATGTATACTACCCGGAGTTATCGATTCGACTACAAGACATCAAACGTATTCAGTCATCAAAGTTAAGGATTTCATCTTGAAAGTACAGTGTTTAAACACATGAGAAACAGAAATAAATGGTATGTCACGAAGGCGACTGGAAGCTACATACACGCGAATAACCTGCACAATTGATTTGAGCATGTGAAGTGTGTAGCGATTTAGATCGCATGTTTAGCCGTCTAGTAAGGATAAATCGAAACTATATGGTATCAAACCAGCGAACGGATGAAATGCACTCGGCAACCTTGTGCACGTGCGCGCAGTAAGCAATGAGCCACACCTACTGTATGAGGGTTAGCTATACTAACTCAGTGCCCGAATCTCGGTAGGTGCAGCGGTACTCGAAAACGTGACCCACTGGTAGATAATCATCTACATAAACCAATGAAACCGTAGTTTCACTAACAAATCAACAAATCATTAGGCAGCATCACTGAAGAAACCTCCCTCGAACAACACTGGAACTCCTTGAAAGCTATGTGGAAAGAAACCTGCATAACCGTACTACAAAGGAAAAGGAAACAAGACAAGGAATCGATCTCCACGGACACATGCGAAGCTGATAGAGCAGAGAGCGGAAGATGCTGAAGCAGAAGATGAACCAGTGCACTGCACTGCACTGCAGGGATGAACAACAAATACAGCAACTGGACACAACCTATAAAACACTACACCAGACAAAGAAGGGAAGAAGAGTACGCGCAAAAATAAAAGACACTTCTACGACACACTGGCAAGTGAAGCACAACAGGCTGCTGATAGGAGAGACACAGACCTGACAACTTCATATCAAATAACCTGATTACTATCTGGGGGGAAGAGACCAACTCAGAAGAAGCAAATCAGAGATAGTGAAGGGAACTTGGTTACCACCAGAGAGGAGAAACAAGGAAAACGATGGGCTGACCACTTCAAAAATCTCTTGAATCGACCACCAGCACCTGCAACTAGTCCACAAATACCACCAGCAGTCACAGGGACTAAAAGTGAACACAAGCCCTCATATGAAAGTCGTAGTCGTGAACGCAATAAAGCTACTGAAATCAAAGAAAGCAGCAGGACCAGCTGTAATCCAGCAAGAAGCACTGAAAACAGACGCAGAGACAACAACGGATATCCTCACATCACTATCACAGAAGGTCTGGAGGAAAGGATAAGTACCTGGCGATTGGAAGAAGGGCTACCTTGTCACACTATCGAAGAAAGGTGACATAAGTGTTTGCAAAAACTGGCGAGGAATCATTCTCCTGTCCCAGTCCACTCAAAGCAAGCAAATTACTAGGCTGCATCATCCAGGAGAGACTGAAGGATGCGCTGGATTCAAAACTATGACCCGAATAGGCTAGCTGGATTCAGGAAGAACAAATCATGTGCGGATCAAATTGCAACACTACACCACGCATCATCATAGAACGAGGCATAGAATGACTGTCAACTCAACTCTACCTCAACTTCATCGACTTTGAGAAGGCCTTTGGCAGCCTCAACTGAGAGGTAATTTGAAAAATGCTTCAACACTACGGAATACCACAAACATTTATCAATCTCATTCAACAACTATGTGAAGACACAACATGCCAAGTAATTCACAATGGGAAGCTCAGAGATGCCTTCGCAGTGAAGACAAGAGTAAGACAAGGTTATCTACTATCACCCATGATATTCGTGATTGTGGTCGACTGGAATGGATCATGCAGCTAACTGTGAGGAGTGAGAAGAGGAGGATACGCTGGCTGGACCAGGGAAAAGAACCTAGAAGATTTGGATTTCGCCGATTATGGTTGGTGTCTGATGTCACACAAACTCGAAGATCTACAGGCAAAAACTAACAAGTTGACAGTAGAGGCAAGGCAGCGAAAGAAGACGGGACTTCAAGTGAATGTAGAGAAGACAAAGGTGATGAAGATATCCAACCACCACCACCACCACCACCACCACCAACAACAACAACAACAACAACAACAAGCTCCATTCAACATCAACGCAAGAAGCCTAAAGGAAGTAGCCTCGTTCACCTATCTAGGCAGCATCGTTTCAACTAGAGGTTACACAGGCACAGACGAGGACGTCAAAGCAGCCAGGATCGGAAAGACTGCAAGACGGGTTGATTTACCTAGAACCAGTGTGGAGATCTTCTGCGCTCACCATAAAGCGTGAACAACATCCGGATTTTCAACAATAATTCAGTCAATCCAGTGCTTCTATATGTTTGAGATACTCGGCAGTGCGTCACGAAAGGGATTTCCAACAAACTACAGATATTCATCAATAACTGCCGCCTATGCTGGTTCGTTACTGAAGCTCAGATGTCCACAGTGATGAGAATAAGCAACGAGGAACTCACTCTGGCTGGCAACGAACCAACCAGCAACCTATCGCTCAACAAATATGCAGAAGGAAGTGGAGATGGATTGGGCATTCACTGAGAAGGCCGACTGGGGACATCACGCGCCAGGCCAGGTACTCGAATGGAACCCAGATGGGAAACGACGAGTCGGGCGTCCGAGGAGAGGGTCACATGGACGAGATGGTGTGATGAAGAAATGAAAGATTGTGGGCAGTCATGGAGCGAGGTTCAAAAGACTGCAGAGAATGGAGTGCAATGGAGGCGTGCTACTGAAGCCCTATGTTCCACTAGAAAGCCAAGGGACAAATAATAATAATAATGTTGTGAAAGGCATGAAATCTACCAGAAAGTGTTAGCGAAACTGATTGGACATGACGGACTTTACTGAAACTAAATAGTGTTCATTACCCTTTTTATCTATTAGCTATAGAGGTGGAAACAAAAGTAACCAAAATACAGAATGACTAAAGATCTGTGCAACAAGTGTAATATAGGATCAATTGAAACAGTCACACTTGGCGATAAAACAGAATTCAAACCAACAACAACAAAAGACAGGATGCTACAATAAACAAGAAGTATGAGAAACAATCGACATGTGACCCAATTCAATAACGAGTCATATAATTAAATAAATGATTTTTAGTTCTAATAAGAGGGAAATAATTTGGGTAACTTACTTTGCGTATCCCATAATTGACTGATTGACATAATAACAGTCAATAAAATAGCTTCATTATTTTCTTCACTGTATCAGACAAAATAAAAAGAAAGGTAAATAAGATATGAAAGGAAAGACGAGGGGATTTATATGCCAGTGTTTAATCTACTAGCAATAATGTTAAATTAAAAAGGATATAAAAGATCATCAATATAAATTGTAACAATGATCATATCTCCAGTATACAATGTTCAATAACAGCTTAAAATTCTAATTTGTTGAACTTTTAACCAACATTATGAATTTTGATAGTAATCTGGTTACATAAGATTGGAAATGTGAAATTTTTTCTTTATCACCAGATACGAAATGAGCTTAGCTAGGAGAAAGGTAAATTGAAGTGCTCTATTGTTGAATTATGCATGTATAATTTACACTTATTATCACTTCAAGTACTACAAAGAGAGGTGAAACATTATCAAGTTAGAGAAAAGAGTAATTGTTAAAATTCATGTTTGTACTATTTTCCCGAAGGTCTGATCTAGTTGCATTGACGAACGAAATACAATTTTCTTGTCGAATTGTTCAGTTAAAATAAAGAAGACAATATCAGAGAAAAGAGTATATTGGATAGGGATACAGTTTTTCTTTGGGTTTTTTTTATGATTAAAATATCTTTGAGGTGGACACATAAATTAGTATATTAAATATAGAAGGATATTTGATAGGAAACTAGTATTATTGACAACGGCAAACATATGCAATATGCAAGAGGTGAGAAAAACGGGAAAAGTAGAAATCAGAATGTTTACCAGGTAATGTTTACAAATAAACGCCAGCTACATAATGATTGGAAGAAAAAAGCTCTTTATCGTTTTCTGAAAACTCTGATATCATAGTTGATGATGACAGTGTCCATGCTCATACTGAGTTGTTTCTCGACTACTTCTTTCGAAAATACACGCTGCTAAAAAATACACATAAGTAGTCTGGAAACAGACATTTGGATGCTTCAATTTCTTACATAGATAACACTTAGGTTATTCAGCTTTTTTCATCAATATAGCATAAAGTATGACTGCTAAAAACAATATAAGAAATTATAAAATGACGAAGGAATAAAAACTTTTCTTTTTTAAAGCATTCCACATGTCTAAGCATTTTTCTGAATGGCTTAAACACTCGATACATGAAAAAAGATTAAGTTGAGATGAATTTAAAAGTAAAGAAGGACAAATGATATTTTACGACAAGTAGAACAAACAACTGAGTAGCTGGATGATGAAGTGCTCACCGTGAAACCTGATAATCCCTAGCGGAATTGCTCGAAGAGTCGTGAATGCGTACTGTTGAGGAGTCCTGTGATAAGACTAAACAACTGCCCAGCGCTCCAAAGTTTGAAATGGTTCTCTAGCTGATATAAGTCTTTGATTAATACTGTCTTGAAAACTTTACGATAAGGATGAATAGTTGATCGCTTTGGTGTTAACAATACAAAAACCACAACTAAACCAGTATCCTATGCAGGTGATGACGCTGTAATAAATTTATGCTCTGTTTTACTATTAACGGTCAACCAACAAGATAATATGTGATAAAACTATATGCTTTCGATAGTAAAAATGAATAGGCTACGTTTTATCCAACAGAAAAATAGATTAGCTAGAAAAACTAGTTTTTAATCAATTTTTGGGAAGCGTTAGCTAATGGATTCGAGTCTCATTGGGGACAACATTATTGCCTGGGATGCAGGTACATCCAGCTGACGACTTCCAAATAGGAAGGAACGTGCATCCTGCATTCCATTGCGAATCACCATGATGACTACAATTTCATGATATCTGTTACCAGCACCTAATGGTTGCGAGTTAGTGCATTGTGAAGTTTTATACACAATTTACTAGGATTGCTCAGTGAAAAAACTTGCAAAGTGACAGGTAATATGTACCTTGATGACTGCTGGAAACATGTAAAGATTTCTGAAAGCTACCTTAAAACACTTTGTCACGAAATTTACTATACTGTCAGTTCTGTCGACTTGGTGAGACTCTATACATGCTTCTATAGAATCCGATTGTTACAAAAACAGCTGAGTTATCAAGTACTGGTCACAGCTGACTGTAGAAATGTGACTCACCGATCTAAGCACTTTGCTTTTAATCAGTAGGCCTAGGATTCAAACACAGCTTCACTTACTACGGCTTGGTTGACTGAGTGGTAATCAAGCCTTTATACAAGGAGTCTTTTGTTAAAAAAGATAAATTAGGCTGGTAACCTAGAGACGAGCTTCTTCTTTGAAACTCATCGAGGCTATTAAATAACACTGAATACCAACTAGTAATATTCGAAATCAAACAACATATTTTTAGTTCTTATAAACTATACTTACTTTACAAGAGATTGAGCAAAGTCAGGCATAGATTCTTCACATGGCAATTTCTGTAGAGAAAAAATACATAGGTTAAGTTATAATAAGGTTGAACGAGCTGACCGATAAATTGTATATATTTCAAAAAATGCATTTATGAGCAACAGAGTATTTTAGAGAAAATCGATTGAGTCACATCACCTTGAGTCGTCAGCCCCTGCTTTCTGTGGACTCTAAGTGGCTTGTGTGTATCTCCTGACATGGCTCAGACCAACGCTCAAACGTATCAGGTACTGATACCTTTTTTCAGTCTGGCTGTGGCTAAGCTTGCTCCAGTCTAAACCTGCTTCAGATAGCTAACATTGTGCGATGAGGCAAACGGTGACTAGGCATACGCGAAACAAGTTTCAGTCACCTCAGTCAATGAATGTTCATAAATACATCAAATGATTCCCTTCTTCTCCTAAAGACTTAACACTGCGGTTTCTGATGTGGTGACACCATGACACAAGGTGTATGTTACGAAGGTGGCGGTGGTCAAATACCTGAAGCCCTCTCATGTTCTCTACCTTAAATGGTCATGCTATTGTTCAATCAAAAGTGCAACCACAGTTTGGTAACCTAAATGATCCAACTGAAAGAACAGTTGAATTAATGAAATGTCTGAATGACTTTTAAGCTAAGAAGAGAATATTTAACTCATTGACGCTGATGAGATAAGCGTTGAGAGAATACTGGTATTTACCACTTTACAAAACTGTGATATTTAAGTAATAGATATGATTAAATTTCATATTCCTTGATTAGTCAACCAAAATGGGAACATAAGATAACCGTGAAACAAACAAGATTAAATCTACACCTTGTAACCTAAGTATAATTTGCAGATCGATACGAAACTTCATCGTGTTGAGTATCGATATTATTGTAACTATTACTAGGTGTGATTCATCGGTGATGCGGTTTGCCATTTAATTACCTGACTTCCAAGGCATGCATCCAAGTTGAAATATCGCTCTGGTTTAGGACACCGGGTAACATCATAAGCAATTTCAATTTTGTGTGGTTCACAGTCTATAACAAAAATCTGTACTCCACTGAATTATATTATTATGACTATTATTATCCAACGGTCGATTACTAACTCAAATCTCATCCCGCAGTTTCAAAATTGAAGCAGAGAAGATTGCACAACTGTTTACACTGACATAACTCGTATGAACAGTAAAGGAATGTTTACAGTCTCTTCTACCTTACACTAAATGCATCACCTAAGTATCCATTACGTGACAGTTCAGTAACATGTCAGCTAAGTAACAAACAGAAAGCTGGTCACTGGCCTTAATCTTCTTATCTCTCCACAATTATTGGTCATGCCACAACTATCCACAGAATGAAGCAGAATAAAATGCCTTGTAGTTCAATTAGATATCTCGTTAACGGCGTAGGTATAGCAACGCATCAAAAACCAATTAAGCCATTTGAATTTATACGAAGAGTTTGTCAGCTACCAAAAAACCAAAGCTGGTTAATTTTCTAAGCAGCTAACGTGATTGACATCATTAACCATAACACTTTTTATTGTTAGATGAATTATCGACATATACCAGTCTTAGGTGGTGAGAAACATATTCCTAACATTCTCAAATTGTTATTCAAATCGTCCAGGAGACAGTATTTTCCCGAAAATGTGGCACTAATTCATAAAGTCTCTTACTGTTGTTGTTTGATTTGAGGGGGAGGGCAGACACTGAAAGCTGTAAAATGTCGTTTGCAGTGATGTAACATTAGAGTATCAGCGAAGCTAATCGAATCATTATCAACGGTAAAAAAAAATAGTGACAGAGAGATAAGAAAAAAGATTAGGAAGAACGTTTTATGTGAAAACGTGAAAAACAAAAATCGATCTGAAGCAGGATACACATACCTTACAGTTCTGCAGTATTTCTATTGTTTCATTATCCTCTATAATTCAATGAACAAAAAAGGAAAAGATTTCAAACAGAAGGAATAGCACAAAGAGATTCAATATACTTTTTGTTAATTCAGTGTTGTGACTATGCTGCCAGATCTACTAAGAATAATGGGATAGTATATGCAGGTATGATTATCTCTAAGGTTCAGTCAGAAGGAGTGTACGCTATGTAAGTAAATTTCCCTCATTTCATGTATGTTAGGAGTAAAGCAGTGGAGGATTGGCTTAACCTTCCAACTTTCAACCAATGTGTTCTGGGTTCAAATCCTATTTCCCCCTTTTCGACTGGCCTGGGAAGCATAAAAACCCATAGTAATTATGTCTGGTTTAGTAATGAGAACTCCGGAATTGGAATAGAACGCAGTCAGCAACCTAGTGCATATTCGCAATGAACCATACCTTTTGTGTGAGGGCTAGTGATACTAACTGACTGTCCAAACCTGGGTAGGTGGAGAGAGCTCGAACTCAAGACCCAAAAGTTGGTGGCCATCTCTCTAAAACCCTGAGCTACAGCTAAAAAGTATGAAAACTTGAGAAAAACAAATGAGTTACACCACTATTATTACCACATGCAACAAAAATTCAACCCAGTGACATTGACGCAGTTATATTTCAACCAGTGTTAATGGGTTTCGAATGCCATACAACTCATCAAGGCTTTCTATATTCATCAAGGTTTTATTCGTAGGGCTGAGATTATTATCCCCAATACAATAACTTCAATTCACAACTTAGGGCAAAAATATGCAATTATTTGACCAATTACCTTATCATTGCTAAAAAGAGTAATTATGAATCGATTTTCAAAGGATGAAAAGAAAAATTCTTAGCTGAGAATCATGCTGGTTTGGTATCCACTGAGCCTAAGTACTTTGTCGTAGACGTTTCATCATGACGGTTTGATGACATCCTCTGCACTTACTTCATGAAGTGGAATGTTACGCATATAGCTAATGAGAGGTGGGATGAAGAACCTATACTCGAAAATGACGATGACTGACTGAAAAAATCAATGAAGGACCACCTCGCACACAGGTGAATCAGCTCAATTTGCCACATTTCACAGTAGAATACAAAAAACAGATGCATACAGAAACATCGGTATAAAGGTAGACTAAGTTGTGTGACACAATAAACAGCCTAAAGATACACGTTAGTACAGATGTTCGAGCTTTAGAAGACATCAAGGACTGAATATATCTACACCATTGTCACCAATTTTCAGCCATATCACCAAGAGTCAGACATCAACCACTGAGTCCTATTGTCAACAGGACACTAAACAGACAGCCTATATCTTTCACACCACGCTTCAGATCAACAGTAAGAGGTTTCATCGACTGGTTCAACGTCTTAGTCTAGTTACCCTCAACCCTCTTACAACCTTATCCAACTTCTCCTAGCATCGCGAGTCGAGTTAGACAGTGGCTCGGCATGTGCAGTATGATGTGATGTTCAAGCCACTTCAGTGGATGGAGGTTCAAAGTCTCATTATTCGACTAGCATATGTGGCCCAGTACACTTCGTCTGACTTCAACATTGCTCACATAGTGATTCTGTCAAACGCAAGCAATGCTACGAAGACATATGTGATCGAAATCCCGTCATCGCTTCATATCTTCTACTTTTAACGACCTGGTCTCACGTTGATGAAGATAAGGTAAAAGAATGAAAAATTATTTTGTCTCTTTCACCTGCAGAAGTAAATAACAAATAACTGCTCTACAGATGTTGCCAAAATACGTTACTAATGCCAAGAAATGTCATCTTGAGAAACGAAAATTCTGTCTTTGCATTAACTGAGCTGTGTCGCAGAGGATTAAATTTTAAGAAGTAAACATAAATCCTTTGGAAGGAATGAACCTCAGAGAGTTTGCATACATAACTAACTAATGGGATACGCTATCATTAAATAGGTACAATGAAATAATTTGAAGAACCGCATTAACTTACTTTGTTCAGTAGTTTGCAGTCCAAGACAAAAATAATTCAAACCAGATTGTGATAACCAGTCCAAGGTTTGACCACTATTTAAAAGCAGAATAAATACAGGAGGAAAGGGTGGGGGAATGAATCATCGAAATTTTCCCGCGAGGACTTAGTGTTCAGTATTACGAAAAAAAACAAGTAGATAGTCGACTGAAAACTAAATTCACAATACAGTTTAAATAAAAAACACCACTTACCTTAAACTCGATTCCGCCTAAAGCACTCTAATGTTATAGGATCAACCAAATAGCAAGTACTTTCAGGGTGGTGTGAATTACCTACTTCATCTAAGTGATTACCATGAAAATGGAGTCTTAAGATCATTCGTCAGCTGAGAAATTCACTGTATGCCTATTCAAACGTAAACTAGAATGATCAATTTCCAAATGATTCACAAAGTGAACGGTCCAGACTGAAAATTTCTCACAGTTGAGTAGTCTTTCAACTGACCAGGTCAATGTTATCTCCATTGGGAAACAACTATGCAGCCAAGATCACAATGTATGATATCTGAAACAAAAGTGTCATGAACTAACAAAGTATGGTACTACTTAACAACGTGAGTGGTAGGAAACCACTCAGGCTGATCTGCAGCATTTCGTCAGCTAGATCAAAGTTATTCGAGTACCGAATAGTCGTTTCGTTCGTTTGGGGCCACCCACGCTTATCAACGGTGTAACCGTTGTACCCCTGTTCAACATTTTGACGCTTATCCAACGAGAATCTATATCACTTCATAATGGAAAAAATGTTCCGTAATCCAATCGGGCGGAAGGTTTACTATCACCTCTATAGATTGAAAGTTTACGTCATCGAGTTTCCTGTTGCTAGCACTTTTAACAGTCTCAACAGAGTTTCCTACCGACTACATGATTTCATTAGAAATGTAAAGCGAAGTCGATATACCCAATAGTACTTTAAACTAGTTCACAGCTAGTGCATGCAACTTCATGATAGTTTATACCGATCCAGATAGTAGTAGAAAAACTAGGTCGTGAACTTGTAAATTATGGCATAGGCTACTAATAAATACCAACATGAATAAAAACAAACACTACGTACAAAAAACCTAATATATCAAAGTTTTCTGTTATGGTGTGGAATAATATTGCTATGGTCTGGATAAAAAACCCTAAATCCATGACGCTTTTTGCAGCCAATCGTTTTGTCCAGAGGTTTAGCGAGAAAGTATGTGGACCGAATGAGAACATCAGAGTGGTTGAAGAGACGGAAAATCAATAGGATATGCCATTCAACAAAAACCTAGACAAAGCCAAAGCCACTGTAAATATAGTATAAACCCTCGTATTTTGTAGATATTTTTGACGTGGCAATAAACCTTTCCCCTTTTTTGAGAAAACCAAGGGGTCGAACTAGAAGGTTAGTTGTTTAAGCGTTTATATATATAACTGAGGTTATATCAAGTAGTTAGTAGAAGGTTATAACAAGCGGCGATAAGAGTATAATATTTTCAAATATTTTATAACACCTCCATCAAAAACATTTAGTTGATAAAACCTGCTCACTCATATTGTTTTCTAAGCGCTTGGTAAGAATACCGTAGACTAATATTCATTAACGGTTGAGAGTATTCGCACAACATTTCGAACAATTCCTTGTGCTTATCAGTTGCAATAAGCAGCAATTCATTGATGTCTGAAAAGCGACAAGACACAAAGAATCAAAGCAAGAAAAAGGAATCACATATTCTTTACTCTTCAACTACCTATATCTTAAAACAGTCTCTCGTGCTTCAATGGTTTAGTGGATAACACAATAGGGTGAGAGAAAGCCACTGTACTTAAGTCCAATATCATTAGATGGAGGGAGAGATTGATTACTGAATCTTTGTTCATCGAATTAACATGTAACACATGTAATAAAAATGATGCAACACCTATACCAGATATATGGAAATTTTTGCTACCAATAAAAACAACTCATATAAGGTGACATAACTATAAAAATGAAATGCCGAAAGTTGTGTGATTACATTGATATGATTATGAGCAACAATTTATGCTCGAAACGTCATCAAGTAAATAACACTATATCACTGTGTGTTATAAATCAAATAAACAAATCTAATATGGAAAAGTTCCAGTCTCCGTGGGAACAGCACTACTCACAACGGGGATTACTGAAAATGAGTAAACGTATAACTTTCAACCGTACGATTAACTTCGACATGAATTAATAGGTGTCTCATTTGGTAAACCATGCGCATCGAAACACCGTCAACTGTGAGCAATAATATAATTCTTTGATTCATTTAGGCAATCTATCTTAGCATATTTTCACTCGCTGTTACCTGCACAACTTTCGAAAGAGAAACCTTAAAAAGCTACAGGAAAAAAATGCTCTCTTTCACAACTTTGATCGAAAATGTGTCTATTTCCGCTACAGTGTCAATAACTATGTACCAATGCGCATCGCTGCTGGCATCATTAGCCTTCGCTGTCTACCAACACTCATTATCACTGTGCAAACATTCTGTCAGTCTATATTTCAGTGAGCTCGAAGACTGTAGAAATACATTCATATGTATCCATTAATTCGGATAATATTGCTGAAATCTATTGACTGAATCATTATCTTCCAAAGATTAATTGCAGTCTCTATTACTGTTTTCCAAGTAGAATGAAAACTTCAAGTTATTTTGAATTTTGTGTCATTACCATATTTCGTTAACTGTCAGGATAATTCCTAAAATCAACCCTTGATATCCTGATTTTTCAGTAGAGACTGGATGTTTTAGTTTGTGGTCAACAGACTGCTATTTTAAGGTGCAGAAATATGCATTCTTACAGCTATGTGTTCCATATTTCAAAGACTCTAAAGAATGTATAGATCTGCACCTTTGTTAAAAATTCTTAGCTATAGCTTTAAGAGTCTTAAACTATTGATCTATAGTACTTTAAAGATCGAAACTGTGAAACAAACATCTCCCTGCACTCATGAAACCAACAGTCAGGAAATTCATAGTCATATGTCATGTCCTAGTTACGACCATTAAATAAGTCAATACATAAAATAACCCCAGTAGAGACAGCAAGCATTTTCATCGATCATATTTCTACCTTATTGATAAACCCAGTAAATTTAGAATACTGAACATCTTGAAAGCACCTAATGCTTCTGTCGTACTCACACCTACTTAAAGTGCTGAAATGATAAGTACACAAGATCAGTTGGATTCGATGAAGACTTGGATTGTTAACAATGTCCTCAAAGCCTCAACAACCAATACCAAAGCTCACATGACTGACTATCTTTTCTAGAAGCATAAAAAAGGATATTCTGACTAGGAAATGCCATTTCTTACCCTGTGCATTTCGGCTGATTAGAACAGAATAAACTAAAAATGGTACAACAATTTCTAATGTTTGCCTTTCCATGCTGAAAACAATACAAGTGAATAAAACAAATTGTCAAGTACTTATCAACATATTAATCAACATAAACAGTTAAGCAGAAATTGTATTTTGGAAGTTATCAACAAACAACTTGTAAGTGACAAGCAGAAGAATTTTCAATGTAACACTCATCGGAGATGTCACTAATCTTGCTTAACTTCGTTACAGACGTACTAATGGAAATAATCTTAGGTAAACCGGACTTCATAACCATTGACTGATTCACCCAAGACAATCTAGTTTACTTAGGGTACAAATACGACACTGTTATGTTAGGTGAAGACACTACCTGGAAAAACAATGTCCGCCAAAGTAGGGCAGCGTCGGTCGGAGGCTTATGGTGGTCAGAGAGAGATATGACACTACCTTGTGAAGCCTCTTAAAAGTGGTAAGTCACGGGCGAAAATAAGCCACAATGGTGCAGATGTACAGCCAGTGACGATCTCCAAAGTTTGAACATCTGCACTATCCTTAATATTCAAGCATCTTTCGCACCTTAACATGTTTGTCTACTTTGATGCCACACCTTCTCCTTCCAGGTATTCTTCGTAAACTACTGTGTAGTGCACTTTTGAAAGATATTTTCGGTCAATTTCATCTCAAGATTTGACACTTACATAGGTACTTCCAAACAAATGTCATCATCACTAATAATGCTGTGGTTTCCGTATCGACAACTTTAGCTGATGGTTAAGTAAAGTTCCTCTGTATCACGCCACCGAAAAGTTCTTCCACATTTATTTAGGCGGCGGTTTCAGTCTGCTGGCGACATAGAGATGGATCGACACGATCAAGATAGGACGATGTATTATTGGAAAAAAAGTAACTGATGGCACAATTCATAGCAGTAAATCAATCGAAAAAGTACTAGGATTAAAGACAAAGTAATACAGCAGAAAGAAAAGGCAATTCAGTATGATGACTGAGATGAAGCAAATGTGTCCATACATCCATACACCTGAGGTCGATTCCCAGCAACACCATTTATAGTCTCAAATTACAGAACTCCAATGGCGAACTCAACATTTTCGCCACAAGCGTCATACCAAAGGCAAAGTTTCATACACTCACGAAATCCTTTACTCCGGCTACCCATGACCTTCATCCACTCTGAACTCGCCTCGAATAACATCGTGCAACGAGAAAAAAAGTGACTTGGCATGTGTAACACACATTCCAACAATCCCAGTCGGTGAAGGTCATTAATCCCATCAAATGACTTTCCTACTAACGCTTCTTTTACTTGCTTCAGTTCCTTTCTTAATTCCTTGCACTGACTAGTCAGTTTTCTAGCTCTATCATTTAGACATTTGACTGAACCTGCCTTAACAAACATTGGATGAGATGACTATTGGGATGTATCACTTTTCTGTAATCGATAGTATCCAAGCCACCGTCTGTCCTTCGTTTTATCCTCCAATTCAACATAGATAATTCTCCTTGTTCATTTCCTACCTTGTAAGTGAATTGGACTGCGCCTACTACTGAGTTTATATGTTTGAGGAAATTGTCAATGTTTTCCGATTACGTCTACGTATTCCAAAATGACTTCCCTCCTCTACCAAACACTCAACACCTCGGCTTCTGCATTATTGACAAGGTAACATCACGACAAACGGTCTATGCTACGAAGTCAAAAATTGTCAAACACCGGCAACCTCTCCACATCCCCTGTGTTTAACAGCCAGGTTTCACACTCATATTGTAGAAAAGGACTAACTCCACCCCAACACACCCGACCCTCCATAGGCAATCCGATATCAAGGCAGTGTCACAAATGGTGTGATTTCGCAAAAGCCAAACGAGCCTTTTGCATCCCTGTTGTAATTTCATTAGTCACTAGAATCAATAGGGTTGAACCGACTTCTCAGTTAAGTGAAGTGGTCAACGCACTCAATCACTGAAGATCAGTCCTGAAGCAACAATTTATATATATAGGTCGTGGGGAACACACGACAAACATTCTCGAATTGACACTCAAGGTGTCCAGAAGACTTTGCATCTTGTTAGCATCCTCACCTAACGGGAATTTGTAATCTACCTACCATAGATCTACCAAGGATTCTCTTCAAACATGATCAATCCCTGGGAAGTCAAACCAATAGGGGGAGATCTCCATGAGCATGTGTATGAGGAAGCTGAGTAGGAATGAAGAGATCAAACACTTGATGAACACCCCTCGACATATTCAAATAGCGTGATACCATAATCATAGGCTCTGAACGCCAAAGGATTTTCGAGTGGAGAGCCATCAACAGAGTGATATACTTAGTCGGCACTCTTTTCAGTGAGACACTGACATAAAACCTATTGATCGAAGGCCTTGAATAGAACCTTCAGGTCGCGAACTACAGTCAGCGTCGGTAAGTCCCTGTGTTTTAGAACCTGACGGACAGTGAATATTTGATGGACGCACGCACCCTAGTCCATGTTTGAAGTCTGCTCAGTTTTGCCACGCCTTGTTTCCGAGCTTCATTCACAAATCTGATTATTACAGGGTCTAGAATCAATGTCAATGTTCTATTCAGGCTTTGATTAGATAGCGGGCAACGGAATAGTAAGTGGAGGTCAATCTAACTGCTCCACCCATCATTCCTGTCATCTCCCCTGTGAGCAAACCACAAACCCATCTTTCTCCACAACGGTCTTATTACCACTGACCTCTTCGCTCTAGTTTCATTGATTAGTCTAAGTAACTGTCTATTATAATTAACGCTGTTGTCTTTTCCATCTCCTTCTTCTTCATTACCCACCACTGTTCGTAGTCACGGTTTAAACTTCTTATCAGTCTACATTTCAGCTGCTTTCACTCTGCATGGTGCTCGGAGGCAGCAGGGCTGCGTTCGCGTGCACCCATTGCCAGAAGCTGTTGAGATTCAATGGTCCCTTATAACCACTTTCTAAAAGTCGGCTACGGTACTCCAGGCTGTTTTTACAATAGAGTGGAGATGCAAACAAGTCGTTTTTGAGTGAATGATGCGTTTGAGTACGGATAACAGTTCAACTAGTTCCTTGTTGAAAAATCTTCAGTATTTTCGTTGTCAAGCAGTGTTTACAATGGTTTTGCTGCTGTGGTTCTCCTGTGTCCGTTTAGGCGCAGACATACGCGAGATCACCGCCTATAGCAGTGCTCCAAGAGAGACGGTTACCATAAAGCGACCGCCTGTAGCGATGACTAATAGTATTCAGGTCTATCTGTTCACCATTGAATTGAGGTCGGTCAATGTCTCTCTCTCTCTCTCTCTCTTTTCATATCTGAAGTTTGTACTTGCCCGAAAAGAACGGTTGTCTGAGCATATTTGCAGGAGGTAGCCACCATTATCTATTCGTTCGCCTGGAATTCCGATAGTGCCACGTAATTGCCTTTCTGCCTGATTTAGCCAACACACTTGAGTATTGAAATCACCTGCATAACTAGTACATAAACATTTGGCTTTCTGTAGGAGCCAGGGCAGTTTTCCGTACAGTTCATCCTCCACTTCATCCGAACTGTAAACTGTAGTGAGTTTGTGTGCAGGGAACACAGAAAGAAAATGCCTGGCTTCACTACTCTTTTTAGTCTTCATTGTGCCATTTAGTAGAACAGCGCATAGAAAACAGTCAACATGAATCCAGTCGAGTAGTTCTTTTTCCTACACCCACTAGACCCCGAAAACTAGTCATTAAATCTCCAGACACGTGAATGCTGAATTCTGAGGACTCAACATAATGGCCAGATGGGGTTAAATGAATTACCGTACTTGGATCATGTCTGAGTGTCGCATAAATACTACACACATCCGTCGCCCGAGATCCCAGAGTTTCGGCTGGCGAGGATTATTGGCCTCTTTGACGGAGAGTATGGATATTTAAAGCTCAAATAAGTAGTTTGAAACGCAATTTCAAGAGATAAGTGATGTTATTCCATGAACCCAAATCATCATCGACAGCTACAGACCTGTGACAAATCAAAAATGAATTATGAATGTTGATAAAGAGATTCGAAGGAAAAATAGAAGCTACAGATGTGGAAGGATGATAATAATCTGGGGAACTTGAGTACTGACAGAGTTTTGAGAGGGGTTAACGCTTCCCCCACTGTCTATACCATGAAAGGCCAGTTCTTGAGGTGCCTAGAAAAGAAGGGTTGATGCATAAACTCGAAGATCAAAGGAGACTTGCTTGAGGCAAGTAACACCCAACGTTTTGGCGGTTACAGAAAATATTTTTGCGAATCTGATTAAGAACCCATTTCGTTGGGGAATATACGCCGCGGGATACAGGAGACTACGCTCTTTATAGAGTCAGCTTTTTCTAAGCCCTCATCCGACTGGGAAGGTAGCATCAGCACTCTACCGCTGGTCATCCAAAGGAAACAACATACTACTGTAACAATTCCACGAAGCCAGCAGTGCGACTTCGCCCTCCGACTCATACCATAGCGTAGCAATTAACACTACAACAGTAACTGCTTTTGTCTCACCACTATCCCATTGATCTTACTGGGATGCTTGGACCTTCAGGGAACAAGCGTTTGAACAACATAACTGGTTAAGTCATCATGATATAAGAGCTCGATCACTAGGTCAAAGAAGCTGTCTTAGTTAAGATTACATCGTTGAGATAAAATCCACACGGAGGTGTAGTATCATAACATTGGTGCTAAAGGTGTGGCTTGATGCTAAGAGAGTGCTGAGTTGCATATATATATGTTCCCACTGAAGTTTGCCTCAACAGAGTTCACCAATATCTAACCTGATTTAGGAAAAGACAATAAATCTTGATAAATGCCTGGAAAACTAACCTTTTCATCAACTCAACAGCGAGTGCATAACTGCGACACATCATCGCCGATTTCAAATCACAAAGAACATCATCAGGTAACACATTCAAACCAGACAAAATCCCAAAAAATTCTTCAACTATTAGTCTATCAGACTGTAAAAGAAAAAAAATGACACAATGACAGTGAAAAGCTTATCACTGTCTAACGAGATGCATGGGTAGAAAAACTGACTAGGCATGTGTAACACACATTCCAACAATCCCAGTCGGTGAAGGTCATTAATCCCATCAAATGACTTTCCTACTAACGCTTCTTTTACTTGCTTCAGTTCCTTTCTTAATTCCTTGCACTGACTAGTCAGTTTTCTAGCTCTATCATTTAGACATTTGACTGAACCTGCCTTAACAAACATTGGATGAGATGACTATTGGGATGTATCACTTTTCTGTAATCGATAGTATCCAAGCCACCGTCTGTCCTTCGTTTTATCCTCCAATTCAACATAGATAATTCTCCTTGTTCATTTCCTACCTTGTAAGTGAATTGGACTGCGCCTACTACTGAGTTTATATGTTTGAGGAAATTGTCAACGTTTTCCGATTACGTCTACGTATTCCAAAATGACTTCCCTCCTCTACCAAACACTCAACACCTCGGCTTCTGCATTATTGACAAGGTAACATCACGACAAACGGTCTATGCTACGAAGTCAAAAATTGTCAAACACCGGCAACCTCTCCACATCCCCTGTGTTTAACAGCCAGGTTTCACACTCATATTGTAGAAAAGGACTAACTCCACCCCAACACACCCGACCCTCCATAGGCAATCCGATATCAAGGCAGTGTCACAAATGGTGTGATTTCGCAAAAGCCAAACGAGCCTTTTGCATCCCTGTTGTAATTTCATTAGTCACTAGAATCAATAGGGTTGAACCGACTTCTCAGTTAAGTGAAGTGGTCAACGCACTCAATCACTGAAGATCAGTCCTGAAGCAACAATTTATATATATAGGTCGTGGGGAACACACGACAAACATTCTCGAATTGACACTCAAGGTGTCCAGAAGACTTTGCATCTTGTTAGCATCCTCACCTAACGGGAATTTGTAATCTACCTACCATAGATCTACCAAGGATTCTCTTCAAACATGATCAATCCCTGGGAAGTCAAACCAATAGGGGGAGATCTCCATGAGCATGTGTATGAGGAAGCTGAGTAGGAATGAAGAGATCAAACACTTGATGAACACCCCTCGACATATTCAAATAGCGTGATACCATAATCATAGGCTCTGAACGCCAAAGGATTTTCGAGTGGAGAGCCATCAACAGAGTGATATACTTAGTCGGCACTCTTTTCAGTGAGACACTGACATAAAACCTATTGATCGAAGGCGTCGAATGCTACCCATCCACAAGTGTCAGGTAACAGTGAGAGCGCATGCCTCTCACAACCTTTCGGAGAATCAAGATGTAGTTGACATACTCATGTCGAACTCAGGAACCCACCACGTTATACAGTGCTTTTTGTCTCCAAGCTTCAATTGGGCGTCTTATGACTTTAGAATCTACGCTGTTAGAGACATTGTTATTCAGACTAACTTTTTATGGTACTATGCCAATTAATATATCTTATAATCATTGTCGGTGAGTGAGATAGGTTCACTTGTTACTGAGTTAAGTGATACAGAACAACAAATAAATTAATCTGACATAGAATTATTATAAAAAACATTGTTGGAATTCATCATCCGATGTCATGAAAAGTAATCCTACAAGGATGAGATTTACACAGGAATTTACAAATGTAGAGAAGACTTCTTGAAACGAGGTGTATGATTTTACGGTATTTCTGTTTTCGTCTTTTATGATCAGTGGGGAATCTACCATATGGTGATTTCGGCAGTCAAACTTTTTAACGCGACCATTGTAATAACCTCGCAGCGTCTTAACAATATACGGTGTAGGATGCATCATGTAATTTAATAACTTGCAGAACTGCACACTAAGAAATGATAACCTATTATGATAAGATTGATGACAGTAACTAAATGCTCAACCCAACCTAGATACGGCGAAGTTGACATCTTCGACTCACTACTTGAAAATCGACAGTTCACACCGATGAGTCACAGCGCACACAGTGGCTGATTTGAATGACACACGTAACTTGAAAAAAAATTAAAAAAAAGTAAGAGCATACCATTGTTGAGGCACTTTTCGTTTCATCCACTGCACGCAATAACCATTTATTGACACAGTTCAAATTCGATACATTTACTGCATTCTTCGTAACTTTTGCAACATACGCCAAATGATTAAAACAGTTTGGTTTTGTCCCTGAAATTGAAAACGACAGAGCGAAAGAAAAAAGAATCTCTAGTTGATAGGGCAAAACTCAGTCACCAGATAAACATTTTGATACGAAGCAGACTAAAACATAATAAGCATCCAAGATCATCAGTAACCAACCTAGAAGTTTTGGATTTCAACTTGCTTTCATGTGTGGGAAGGTAAAACCTTATTGGACAATTTTGTCCTACACAAGACCAATCAAAATAAGCATCCAACTTCTCATCTAGTGGCTTGATTTCATGAGGAAAAACTGTATTTATTTTGTCAAATAAAGTTGTCTTCCTTGTAGTTGCACATACCTGTCACTGTCTCCTGATTTTCGCGGCTCAGTGAAGTATCCGGTCTGACCTGTTGATATATAGCTCGCTATATGGATGCCAAGATATTGTCTGAATATTTATTGTTATAATTGACTTCGTTGTAGCTAACACTTGAACCCAGGACGTGCATTCCGTCTTGTTTGAGACTTGTCAGATGCATGTTGTCCCCAGTGAGACTCGAAATCGGTACCCACCGCTTCAAACACCGAAATGCTTTGTGTTAGATCACTGAGGCAAGATAGACACCTCTTATACAACAAGTATCACCCATTATTACTATTTGTTGGCAACTACCCCATAAACCAACAGAGATCAATCAATTTCATCTAAGATAACAACGGGGAATTACGTGTACCAAAAAATAGTAATAACTAATACCCGTTGCACAATAAGTGACTATTGTGCCTCAGTAGCCTACTAGGAAGCGTTTCCGCGTTTGAAGCGATAGGTACCGGGTTTGAGTGTCACTGGGGACAACATCAATTCGCACTGGAGTGTAGGTACATCCAGTTAACAAGTCTCAAAGACGAAACGCGCGTCCCGGATTTCAATGTTAGCCACAACAAAGTCAGTTATAACAGTAAGTAAGATTACCAGGTTTCATTAACAAAAACATAAGGAACAGCACTAGAAGTCATAATCCTCGAGAAACAGCTCAAGAGGTGATGATTCTCAAATACTTTCAAGTATCCTCTTAAAAGATAAATTCATACCGACTAACAGTATGATTCACAAACTAGATCGCAGCGATTTACATGCTGAACAAATGTTTGAATTTTAAATTATCAAACCCTGTTCACTATCTTATGCTGTAATGATAGTATACAAATACTGATAAAATAAATTATGATGACATGAAAAATTCACATCAAGGGATTTTGAAAAAACCAAAAGACTTTGTTGAGTTTTTAGCAAGGTTCATCAGAAAACAACCAGTTTACTATCATAGATACAATATCAAATTATTAAAAGTTGATCAGTTTTCTTATACCCCCCAATTGTCACTTGTTATATTCCCGCAGTGACCCTCACCTGAATTATAAACTTGGACACATGAACAATAACCTTCAGATTCCACACCCAAGATAGTCACTCAGTATTCTCGATGAATGAATGGAAAAGGTGATAAGATGGTGTATTAACAAGGTCAACGACGAGTCTCAAACAGGATGAAACGTGCGTCCTGGATACCTCTGCTAGTCACAATCAACCGAATTACCGTAATTAACATTCAGGCAGTATCAAGGCATCCGTATATGAGCCCATCTGCCAATAGAAGTCGAACAGTTCGATCCAATAAAACAACCGAGAATAACAAGTTTGTCAATAGCACTTAAATTTTTCATTCGATGGTTACAAGGAGTTGGTAAAAGTCCCTAAACCTACATTCTATGTGCGTATCGTAGATGTTCTATGGTATGAAACCAAGAAGAAAATTGATATAGTCTAGCCAGTTTTCTTAGTTACTGTGGAAGTTAAAAAGCAAAGGCAACGTAAAACAAGCAGTCAAGACAGTTGAGAAATAAAATTTACTTACGTAATATGGTTAAAGTGTTACTGCAAAATGCCAATTGTTTTTCTGGATAATGTTCTGATACAAAACTCAACATAGGATTAAACCAATCCTCCTAAAAATGAAAGAAAAGAAAATGTAGAATTGATATTGAGTAGAAACAAAAAAGAAAGACCATTGAATCCATTTTCATGTCAAAATGGAAAATAGGCAGTAATTCATGTCCTAGATTGTTCTTTTAAAGAAGCTTTTCATCATACACTGTTCCACATATATCGTGTTGGTGTAATAGTTGCCATTCACGCATTGTTCACCATTTCATTCCCCAATTTAGAAAACTTATAATCAGAAATATTGTGAAGATAATTATCTCTTAACTGTGTTTTCATAGTGCCTAATTTATCGCAACCTTTTTAGGACTTTTATAGACAACATTTTCTTCTTAATTAACGGAGGATGAGGTTTTTGATTATGTATTGCAGAAATTTTACTCACCAGATATAAAACAAAATTTGTAGTGCATCAATATTTGCCACTTAGTGATTTCCCTATATATCGAAATAATTACAAAACTAATGACGTACATGAATGAGAACGGACTGCAACTATAAAGCCTTCACGTCAAATAACGAGTATACTCCACTTCAGTCCATCCTGTCCTGTTATACACCACATGAGACATGGTGACTAAGAGAAGAAGACATAGAGCCATTACTAAGTCTTGATCATACCTGCTTTTGTAACACTACTCATGTTAGGTGGAATCACCATGTGAGCATTTTTGAGGTCAGGAGAAGGGTAATAGGCAAGACATGCAAGCCGAGTGATAAGGTTATGAACCTTACTTGATTGAAACGGCTTGAACATGTACTGCTCAGGCTGAGGCACCGCCTACCTCGATATATCATGATGGTGAAGGAAGTTGGATTCAGTCTGAAGAAGGCTCAAGGTGGCTAGACCAAGACATAGCACTCATCCTTGGCTGTTGGTATGAGTCGTTTGGGGAGATGTTGACTGCCAGACTGGGTTCCCCGATAAGAAAGGAAATAGTGGTTGCGGACTCTTGATGAGGCGGTTGAAAATCTATCCACCGCTTGGATATTTACACTCACTTTTATCTTTTATTATCTCATATAACATTTTCTACTTTTGAAGTCACCCTATTTCTATCCACCTGTTCTTTGTGAGCTACTATGAAGTGTGGGAACTTGAGCCAATGCACCTCTGGATGCAAGGTTTTACATCCATTTTGTTAATAAGTCAACCAGAAGAACTGTAGCCAAAGGTGAGTAATGCCACAAACATATATAACCGAATATCTGAAATATATTCATTCAGCTCAACTTCAGTGGTAATATCTCATGACCACAAACAAAACGATGAATGACTGATGTACGGTATAATCGAAGGTTGGTAGATAACGAGATAACTTTATGAGTAACACAGATTCTACATGTTACAGAACGTCAGATAGGCTACTTTTAAAATTGAAAATATTTCTTAGTCAATTATCTTAGTAGTTTTGGTACAAAATATAAAAATGAGAGAAACAGTTAACACATAGAACCACTTCATTCCCCATTAATATAAATTAACTGACGATGCATACCGATTCTGAGGCAAGTACATTGTACATTTTTGTTATGATGCTCCAGTTCTATGTCAAACATTGTTATTGATCTGAACATTTTAACGTGTCATTTCCACACCATTTTTTACGGTATGGCTAGAAGTCTATTCTCTGCCCCCATTGTAATGTAATTTGCTAGTTAGTTAATCTTTTACTTTTGCGATGAGAATTTCTCCGATTGCGGACAAGGTCATATTTCATGCGTATACTTATTCACGTATTTTGAATTGATGGACTATTATATTCTCGTAGTTAGTAAACTCTCCCATCTGCCAGCTTCGGTCTTTCCTCTATTCGCCCCGGGGTTGCAGTCAGTGGCTCTTGCGTACTTAGTTAGCTGTCAGCTAAGTGAGCATATTATATTCGTTTCGGAATACATAAAACGGTTGACATTCGAAAATATAACAGTCTACGAAATCGTAAGTTTTGTAGATGAAAAATGCATATTAAAAATCCTCAAATTGTTAGCCGGCTTTTCTATACAGTATACATATTTTGCATGCAAAACTCTTGATGAGTAAGACAACATACGTGACAAAGTGATATTTATCAACACAGAGACCATCAACTACCTATCAGATCAGTGTTTATTGATCGATGCATAGTAATGTTATACGTCTACTTTCGAGCAACAGTAACAGATCTCACTTCATTAAAGAAGTACCAAATGTTGAACAGGTTTAAATCACTGAACGATGAGTTCTCGAAATAATTAGCCAAAAAATGAGTTTACCGTATCAGTTGAAAGAGTAAGTAGTAATCCTAGGGAACTGTCACTAACCTTAGCAACACACAATGCAGCAAGTTCATACATGGATTCATCTTCAGGCAATTTATTAATAATGTACTGTGAGGGAAAAACAGAAATAAAAATGAGATACTTTGTAAGATTAACGGAGCATTATGATAATAATTCAACTGGTGAGAAGGAAGCTTATAAACAAAAAACACTGCAAAATAGCCTGTGTTAACTCACTCATAATAGCAACATTATACAAACTAGAAAATAGTTGGGTGTATACTAAATCATTCTTTATTTGATCCCTCCTTAATAACCTTGATAAATACGTTACAGCTAACAGCATTTCATAGGTACAACATTATCTGCTTAGTTGGCTTGGCGAAAATATCTTCGCCGGCAGAATTTAGTTTACAATCTGTTTTCAGCACGTGTCACTTATGACATCTTTTAGGTGCACACTAACCCTGAAGTTTTTTAATTTTTTCTTGTTCTCAATTTTACTGATTTTAGTTGCTGGCACATACTACTAAGAAAAGAACAAGTAATATATAGATAAACAGACTATTTTTACATTACAGTAGACTCATAAAATTATACGATTATGTGGCCCGAAGATCATCTAAACAGTCCCTATGCATGAAACGAATTGAAGGGATGGCTGCATAGGTAATAAAGAGAACTACTGGTGTATAAGAGTAATTTTTCGAGTTGGTATAAGAGTAAGCAGCTACACTACCTGTTGCTGGTTTCCACACTGTGGGTTTACTCGCTCGCTCGGTCACTATAGACAAAACACGACACATTTACTAAGAATATAACTGAACAACATGAATGCATGAGTTAGTAAGTGAGCAAAGATGTTCGCATAATGTTAAACTTAAGGAATCACAGTAAAAAAGTTACCTGTAAAGTTGGAGCATTGAAACCATTCTTATATATTTCATGTGCAATAGATAAAGTATTTGTTTTACCAAATTCCGAAATAATTTCAGCTACTACAATGAATAAAGTGTATTATTTTCAAGAACAAAAGTAAATATTACCTAGGTTTTCAGAAAAACGTAATATATAGTAAAGGAAACCAGTGAAACTCACAAGTTAACGAACACTTTACCATGTAACAGGACTGATAGGAAGCGACCTAAATCGCAATCAGCATCCAAGATCATCAGTAACCAACCTAGAAGTTTTGGATTTCAACTTGCTTTCATGTGTGGGAAGGTAAAACCTTATTGGACAATTTTGTCCTACACAAGACCAATCAAAATAAGCATCCAACTTCTCATCTAGTGGCTTGATTTCATGAGGAAAAACTGTATTTATTTTGTCAAATAAAGTTGTCTTCCTTGTAGTTACACATACCTGTCACTGTCTCCTGATTTTCGCGGCTCAGTGAAGTAACAGGTCTGAAAAAGAACAGTCTTGTTTCATATACAGTCCCAGTGTCTCATTGCGCTAGTAGAGTTTTCGCTTTACGTATAATTCCGCTGGTCATTTTCACTGAGGCACTCCAAGGACCCAACTAATGACATTTAGTAAATGATTGAAACCAAAATAGTTGGGAAATAAGAAATCACTATTTGATGAACAATTTTCTAACCGAGATCAAAACTACTCTTTTCATCATCCTGAGCTTCAACTCCTCTTTACAGTATCAAGGTTAGGTTGGGGGGCTAACAACCAAAGGAAGATCAATCTGTCAAATAATCAATGAGTTACACGACCTTCTGGTGACATACAACCTAGATGAAACCTCATGCCATAGAATAACAGAACGATGAACAGGGAAGCACGCTACGCGGAAGAAGAGAATAAAATTAGAATAAATAAATATATAAATAGCAGATAACCTGACTGACAGACTGGTAAAATCCACAAAAAACCTCGCACACAAGCGCATCGGTTCCACCTGCAGTAGATCAGATCTGCATCGTCATATATGTTATAGGTATGAAACCTATGCCACACATACAGATTTCTGCGCAGCAGGTTCAGAAGATGCTGCATTTTGTCAGCGTCTTCACTTTGCAGTACAACACCGTCTGCATAATCCAAGTCAACCAGATGACCTCCAGGAAGTAGGTTTATCTCTGTGAAATTAGATGTACCTATACTTATGTCCATCAGTACGTTTAAGTCGAAGGTAAATAAGAACAGTGGAAGTGGACATCCCTATCGGACATGACTAGCTATCGTCAACTTAAATGACAACTTCCCATAAGCCTTAACGGCTGCGTGAGTTCGAATAGATAGCTTTCACTAGCGTTACATACCTCTTCGGTACTCCTTTCACAGTCAAACACTGCAACAAAACTTCATGGTCGACTGAGTCAAAAGTCGCTTTCAGGTCGACAAATATGCCGAGTGTCGGTCACTGGTGAGTAAGTATGTCTGTGCACCACAACCTGTCGTAGGTTAAAAATTTGATTGCTGCACCCTTGTCCAGATCTGAAACTTCCTTGGTTTTCTCGAATTTGCTGTTGTGGAAGCTTCCAGTTATGAGGTGAGATAACTATGGATCCTAGGATCTTGGACACAATATTACTCAAACTTATTAGCCTATGGTTGTCACAGTAAGACTTCTCTCCCTTCTTATAAAGGGAGTATTAAACACTGTTTAAGCCAAATATAAGGACTCAAGTAAGTTACCTTCAAACAAACACCATGCTTTAATCCCTTTAACAGTTTTATGAATCCCTCAGATATAATTCCAAAGGGCAAATAAGTTGAGACCTAGCTCCGAAATGCTGTTTAAATTTAGATATTATTAGACAAAGAAAAAGGTGTATTAAGTCAAAGAGACAATAGTTTTCTTCTTGGAAAACTTTCATATTAGAAACAAATAAAAGTCTACTACTGAATAATTATCGAAATAATACTATAGTGATGAGCAAAGAACTGAGCGTAAATATAGGAAAGATCACATAACAGGGAGATGAAAGTAGTATGGAAACTTCATAAGTTAACAAGATTAGCTCCAAAGTATTTTTAATCAGATGTATTAGATGTACCGCACAATCAAACATCATTACCTACTGTATAACGTTTCCGAAACGGTTTATTGTCAATGGCTGTAGAAAACAAATGGAGGAGATGGATGTAAGTGAACAAAAAACTGTCGAAAACATAATCCAGTAAACAATACTGTTTCATTGTGTAATCTATTTGATTTACAAAATAAAATGAAACTGCACTCTCCCCCAATGCCCACATTTAACTCATACATTTACATCCTAGGCTGAGAACATTTGGAGAGCAAACCGATAATTGATAGATGAATATATTAAAACAAGCTGATTACTTCAGCCATTTTGATGTACACCTACAAGTTTACTCGCTCCGGTGAAGCGAGTAATACTTACAGTACAACTAATGCTTTTCTCTTTGGTCATCAAGAGATGACTGCAAATAAATTAGTACCTGGATAATTGAAAACCTAATGACTTGCAGTCACAAAGCTCCATAAGGGCATTAGTTCAAATCATCTGAAAATTTCAATAAGATGGTTACAAAGGCGTTGGATCTCACAATCTTAGCACAGCGGAAATACTAGAGATTTATCGATTCAAGCTTAGCCTGTGTGTGTGCACAATAAATATGTTAAATCTCTTAATCTGTCTTGAACCTTTTCCTTCTTACTTTGGTAGTTTCAGCATCAAAAACTATTTCATTATTTTAAGACAGTATTCCTTATGAAATGACATCAGTTGGAACATTGAAAACCTAGGAGTACTGTACAGTTGTTCCGTCTTATTGTGGGAGCTCTCAGCAGTGTAAACTCACGAGATACTCAGGGATCGAAAACATGACCCTCAAGTCCCCTGGCTAGCGCGTTACAATTAAGTCACAGGGTCGCAGTCAAATGGTTCGCACTTCCCAACTTCTGTCGATTCTCGATACAGCGCGACCATCGTCCAGTGTTTTTCCCTATATAAACACCTTCGGTAAGGAACTTTGCTTCATTATTCATTACCCTCCTTGTATTTGTCCAGTAAATAATCAACTAACTTTTATGCCCAAGAAACTGGGGAAGTGTTGAAACCTTGTTCAACCCGATGCTTTTTTTCGTTACTAATCCTATGCTTTTTGTATTTACCCTCCTTTTTGTTTACATCTACATATGCTATTTCAATAATTCACGATTCACAACAACAGACTGGTATTTACTTCCTCTGATTATGAATATCATTGTCTAGCTTCAGAATATATGAGTTTTATCGAAGGAAGAATTTCTTTTCTGCAGACATCATCACCGAGTCCTTGATGAAAAGCACTGCAGATAATACATGCAGAGGGGTATATTCTCTTAAACACTTACAGTAACTTTGATTTTCACCGGAGAGTTGATTGAGAGAATCACAGACAATGACGTCATATATATTCAAAGGATTTTTGTGCAGACGTTTCATAGCCCATTCTTTAGATCTACAACGTAAAAAATATTTAAAATTTATATGTAGTTATAAAAATTATCAGTTTGGCTATCTGAAATAGCCATGGTTTAGAAGACTTGTATCATTGATATTGGATGATGATGACTGAAGGTGAAATACAAATTTTGACCCCGTCACTGAGTTACGAAACCCGAATGTTGACTAGAGTTTTATTTCGTACAAGTCCGTTGAACCACGGCCATCTCAAATAGTCAAACTAATGATCTGTAAGATGTTAACCCTTTATAATTCAAATAAATTAGAATCGCGATGAAAAGTCCTGACTGGGTGACCAGTGTATGACCAAGCGATAATAACGCATCACAAATCCACACAGCAATCAAGCAAAACTCATTACTGATTGGATTGAAATAAAAATCTAGTGAACAGCTCGGAGCTCAGTTAGTTAATCCCCTGGCAGAAAACCTGAAGATCGCCAGACCAAATGTTGCCGTGGTCTAAATTTTCACTTCACCTCTAATCATCACCCAATTATAAGAATGTTTCAAAATAACTAAACAAATGAAAACTAGTGAATAGAAGAACGACAACACAAACATATCCAAATAAATTATCACTTCAGCCTAACTGAGTGACTCAAAGATAGTATATACCACAAGAAAGCAAAAGTCTACAGAATTGTTAGTACAACTTTCAAGTAGGTGGAAATATATTCCAATTTGTTACCTGTGAGAAACACAGATTTTCAGAACTCTTGGCGATATGGCTCAGAACCGATGTCAGTGGCGCAGATGTATACATACATTAACGACACCATACCAAATCTCACCATTTTCTCATTCTTCCTTCCTCTCTTTTAGTACCTTGTATTTCTTTTCACTGAATTTTCTTCTCTTCATCTTCCACTTCACTGCCTTTTTACTTGATGTAATGATATGAGTTGTTGCAACTCGGACCGTTATGCATTAATGCCTGGTCCTATGTTGACATGGATGAATAGATGGAATCACCGTGCAAAGCAACCCTAGAGTCAAGTGGAAAACAATAGGTAAGACAGGCAAGTCGATTGAGGAGGTTATGAACCTTAGTCGACTGAGATGGCTAGGACATATCCTGAGATTGCCGCCCACCTACCTAGATTTGTCATCATGGAGGAAGTTGGATCACGTTGGATGACGGTTCAGGATGGTCAGACCAAAACGTGGCACCGGTCGATGGAGTCTCTGACTGTTGGTCTGAGTCGTATGGAGACGTAGACTGCCTGGTTGAGGTCCCTGAGGGAAAGGAATGAGTGGTTGAGGACTGAGTCTTGGTGACATGACTGAAAATCGGCCGATATACTGCACATGTATTCACTCCGTGACGTCTTCTAAAGCTTGAATGTACGCACTAACCATTGTCTTTAAATCACGCGCTTTCACAGCCTCTGCCAGAGAAGTTCTATTAACTGCCTTCAAGTGGCCGGGGTGCTTTCACAGATGTGGAAGGGCGCAAGCCAATGTCCGGCGCTTATCGTCACACTCATGGATACTAAAGGTTCACACACGGGCCTATACCTAGGAGCGTTCCTCAGGGCACTAATCTAGATCTCCACCTGCTCCGAGATGCTAATTAATTGCCAAAGATGCTTAGTTTATCATCGTTAGTATTTGCTGGTGACGTCAAGTTCTGAACAGTCATTCGTGCCAGTAATAACAGGTCTGAACTTACAAGCTCACCTTGATGAACTGAATGAAAGGTTTAAACGATAGATTCTAGAAATCAGCTGCAGAAAAAGTGCTATTACACACCGCGTATAGGCACTCTGGTTGCCGCCCAGTAATCATCTATTCCTTCGCGCAATGTTGATTGAAGTCGAGGTCAGGAAGACGGTTAAAAACGATCGAACTAAAACATGGCACCAGTGCTCAGGACGGATAGTTTTAGCTGCGTATGAAAACCTAGCCCTGTGTGTTGGGGTCTGTGTGATAACTGAAACCAATGAGCTCACAACTAATCATAGTGGTCCAGGTGCTTCCACATATCAGATTCATCTCAATCGTGATATCGTATTTCTTCATTGTTTAGTTCCCTTCTCTTCTCTTTTTATAACTCTACTACTTTTGATTACTCCCCAATTTCTTCATCTTATCTTTCACTTTTGTGCGGTCACTCTTGATGTGCTGAGATGAGGTGCGGCAACTAAAACCATTATACACTAATTCTAGGTCTTACGTTGATAGTAACTGATCATGAATAAATTACTTTCACTTTACATTCTAAACCAAAAAGACTTTTGTTATCATGAGTCACGATTTGAAGGCATATTGCATTGAGCTTGCAGCTTGAGTATCGATCGTATGCTTTAGTTGCTTGCTTCGTATAACACTCAAATACTTTGATGAAGGTCTCTCTAGGATTTCACACTGTATGTTTGTGAAACTTCATTCAGAGTATCGTATCCATTACTAGACTATTTCATGTAAAAGGTGATACGCTGGAACGCAACTAAGGAGTAAATACGAAGTTAGTAACAGAATTTGCCCACTCCTATAAAGAGCAAATCGCACTTTTTTCACTTGTCTTATCGCAGGATAAAAGCGACCTTATTTAAGTACTTCATTTCTTGAATAATTATCTACGTATGGGTTTATCTAACACTTTTATTTTCTCCACGACTGATTATCACAGGAACGACTAAGGAAAGATTAAGAAGCTATCATCAAACCATTTCCAAGTCAAACACCAGTCTCCTCACAGTCTCAAAAAACCACAACTCGCAAACGGTACAAGTGATAGCACTACCTTCGGTGAAAACTTCACGAGGAAACTAGGTCCCACACAGATAGTTACTGCAAGGATTACCAAAGACTTCCTACCTATTATTACTAACATTGAATACTCATAAAATCGAACGCCACCTTTAGGTCAAGAAATATGCCGGTAAGTCTCCACTTCAAAACCGGTCGGAAAACTAAACTCTCACTCATGAATGAAACCTAGTTTGTTTTCTCGAGCTTTGTGTTCTCGAAGTAGAGTTACATGTCAGGTGACCATAAACCACAGGCTATTAAAAACTCTGTTAGTCAGACTGATTCTTCTGTGGTTATCACAGATAAAATCTTCCTTAGAAACTGGGATGATTACCGACTTAGGCCGGGATGATTGGATTACCAACGACATGTTCTTCAAATCAACAGAAGATAAACTGATTTAAGCAGCCGAAGTATGTTACACATCAATAGCTAATTCCTACCTTATTTTATAAGAGCTAGAATAGCAGGACGAAGGGAATTTCATAAAAATTCGGCCAAGGAATAGGACGGGTTCGGGAAGTGATTCCCTACCATCTAAAGTAAGAAAGCAGCAAAAAAATGCGGGGAGATGCAGACTAACCGGAACCGAAGTCAGTGGCGCGGATATACACACAAAATAGCCTCATCTTAGCAACATGCCGAAACTCACTTCTTTCTCATTCTACCTATCGCTGCATATTGTACTTTATATTTCTTTCGACTGAATTTTCTTTTCTTCATCTTTCCCCTGACTGTCTCTTTACTAGATGCACCGATATGGGAACCTCGCCTGTTTGATTACTTCACTAGTTACTAGCCCATCATAAGCCCGGATAAAGAGCGGACAATACAGAAAGGGAAATGAACGAGAACACCACAGATGGCGACATCGAAATTCTAATAGGTAATATGAATGCCAAACTGCGAGCAGACAACACGGGAAGAGAACTAACCATGGATCGAGAAGCGTTCGGTGCCATGAACGGGAATGGAGAACTATCTGCAGACTTCTGCGCATTCAACGATTTGGTGATTGCAGGCAATGTGCTCAAACACAAAGATATTCACAAAGCGACATGGACTTCACCAGACACCAGGACACACTACACTAAAAATCAGGTCGACTTCATCTCAATATAGAAAAAGTGGAGACGTAGCCTACTTGAAACAACATCAACAACGGTTCACACCACTCACTATCTAGTTCAAGCAACCTACCTTCAAAATCAAGTTGAAAGCTTGCACAGCAGGTGGTGATAAACTTCACTTCAAGGTAGAGTTCAACACCCTAAACAGAAACTCAACTGAAGAACGAAACTTCAAACGACATCTTCACCTCAGCCATCACGACAAAATGGGAGACATTAGGCAGCATCACTGAAGAAACCTCCCTCGAACAACACTGGAACTCCTTGAAAGCTATGTGGAAAGAAACCTGCATAACCGTACTACAAAGGAAAAGGAAACAAGACAAGGAATCGATCTCCACGGACACATGCGAAGCTGATAGAGCAGAGAGCGGAAGATGCTGAAGCAGAAGATGAACCAGTGCACTGCACTGCACTGCAGGGATGAACAACAAATACAGCAACTGGACACAACCTATAAAACACTACACCAGACAAAGAAGGGAAGAAGAGTACGCGCAAAAATAAAAGACACTTCTACGACACACTGGCAAGTGAAGCACAACAGGCTGCTGGTAGGAGAGACACAGACCTGACAACTTCATATCAAATAACCTGATTACTATCTGGGGGGGAAGAGATCAACTAAGACGAAACCAATGGAAGATAGTGAAGGAAGGCTAGTCATCAAAGAGGAGGAGGAGGAGAAACAAAGGGAACGATGCACTGACCACTTCAAAACACTCTTCAATCGACCACCACCACCACCACCACCTGCAACCAGTCCACAAATACCACCAGCAACCACAGAACTACAGGTGGACACAGGCCCTCCAACAAAAGCAGAAGTCCTGAATGCCATAAAAATGCTGAATTTCAGGAAAGCATCATGACCAAATGGAATCCCACCAGAAGCACTGAAAACAGACGCAGAGACAACAGCGGACATGCTCACACCACTTCTACTGCAGAAGGTTTGGAATGAAGGAAGGAAAGGTACCTACCTGCATACTGGAAGAAGGGATATCATGTCAAACTTCTAAAAAAGGGTGACCTAAGTTTTTGCAGGAACTGGTACGGAATTATGCTCCTGTCCCTGTCCACAACAAGCAAAATATTATACCACATCATACAGGAGACTAAACAATCCTCTGAATTTCGAATTACGACCGGAACAGGCTGGCTGGCTTCAGGAAGAACAAAACATGTGCCCATCAAATTGCGACACTACGCAACGCATCATCATAGACCAGAGTGTAGAATGACAACACAGGCCCTCATTAATCTGAAATCAATGTGGAGATCTACTCCATTCAACACAAAGAACAAGATCCGGATTTTCAACACTAATGTCAAGTCAGTGCTTCTATATGGTTCGGAAATTTGGGGAGTCACGAAAAGCATTTCCAACAAACTACAGATATTCAGCAACAGCTGCCACCAACACTCACTCGATACTGAAGATTAGATGACCAGAATGATAAGAATAAGTAACAAGGAACTCACTCGGGCTGGCAATGAACCAACCAAGAACCCATCATCCAACAAATACGCAGAAGAAAGTGGAGACGGATTGGATTGAGCATACAGTGAGAACGCTGTTCGGGGACATCACGCGCCGGGTCAGGCCCTCGAGTGGAACCCAAAGGGTAAACGACGAGTTGGGCATTCAAGGGTGATATGGAGATCATGTGAGGAAGAAATGAAAGCTTGTGGGCAGTCGTGGAACAAGGTTCAAAAGACTGAAGAGAACAGAGTGAAGTGGAGATGTGCTACTGAAGCCCTATGTTCTGTTAGGAACTAAAGGGATAAATAATAAATAGTAATACTGATATGAGTTGTGGCAACTTGGACCGTTATGCAGTAATGCCTGGTCCTATGTTGATTTGGATGGATGATGAAGGCGATGAATCACACTTATTTTGTAAGGGATAGTGATACTACGTGGCTGTTCACATTTTAGTGAGTGGAGCAGTTGGAAGTTCCTCCTTCAACCAAGTTGTGGATAATAAGCCACATTATTTTGGGTTACTGATCATCGATTCATATCAAGTTAAGGACACTGCTGAAAATATGTGAAGTAAATGCTGGTGAAGCGTAAAATATATAAATTCGTCACCAACACAAATAATAAACAATTAGTGATGCCAATACGAACGCCAGTAAAGGTGAACATACGTGTACAATAAATATCGACACACTTACTTGGGATGAATAAGGCCAGCCACTAACATTGCAGCAGAAATATTTTTATTCGGTGCATACGTGTACCAATCTTTGTAACAATCCAAGTAACTTGGTAAACTATCTGTTTTTCCAAACCATTTCAATGCTAAATAGGTCCAATTTACAGGTAGTCGAAATACTGAACCCTCTTGTATTAAACGTTGACAAACAATCAACCAAGTGGGTATATCATTAGATAGAGGATCAATCGGCGTTACAAACAAATGACATGGGATATGCTGTATCAACCAGTCAACTGTTCTATCTATCACCTGATCCACACTTGAAGTAAACGGAATTTTAATTATTGGATCAAGTTGTCTGAGTGCATTACTCAATCTAACAGGGTAGTGAGCTGTTAATGTATGGCTTGTAAGCAGCAAATTATGATGATGATTAAATAGATCATTGTTGATTAAATACGGTGTCACAATGATTGACCTCAACGTTTTAGGTGGTAAGAAAGGTCCATATTTCAGTGCTGATTGTTGAATTGCGTAGACAATATCAGGAAAATGATGTTTACCTGGATTGGAACACAAAAAGAATAAGAAAAAAAGACAATAAAATTACCTGCTACCTAGACCACCTGAAATGGTTGGTAAACTAAAGTGAAACTCAGACTTAGGCGATAGTTGAGTCTGGTAGCAGCTTATTGGAGAGTCGTTGTTGCTCGTTGGTTTAGACAGTCGACTTTCAACCAATTGTACCTTTAACAATACCTAAATTATGGGAAAAGACAAATTCTTAGAAATAATTCTCTTTGAGATACCAATGGGAACTGCGTTGAAGACACATAAGTAAACAGATAAAAAGAACATAAATCCTAGAACGATTACATATCTTTCCCGGCTATCATGATTTTCGTTGTCTAGTGGAAGATGGAAGTCAATCAGAGAAGAGAAAAAGGATGAAAACAATAACATTAGTTGTCAAAAAGTACACAACAAAGAGAAGAAAAAATCAAGGTACATGGTTGATAAGATTTTCAGGGTTTGGATAGTGCATCGGTATATCCGTTTCACTATGAATATTTCCACACTACATAAATGAAAGTGACCAACCACAGATTTCCACTGTTTTGTGGAACTCAAACACAAGTCTACAATTCCCTTATATGACTCAAAGACTTGACATAAATACAACACATTAGTACAAACTAGCCTACGATATCCTACACAAATAACAAAAATAATTTGTGACTAATTGTACTGATGCACAAGATCTATTAGGCCACCTTGAAGGCACTACCACCAATCCGCTTCCCTCTAGAACTAAGAAAACACGTCAAGTTAAAACAAGATTAGCCTGAAATATTACGCTATGAAAGTGAACTTAGAGACTATATGTGAGTTTGTGTAGTCAGAAACTACCCAAATCTATCGTGTCGCGTCATGAAACATCCTAGTAGACAAAGTCTCAATAAAAAAGTGGTGTTCAGATTTATAATCCATCAGTTGCAGACCGTGGTCTTACAACTCCCCAATTATCCTCATCAATACAAACATACAAAAAAATCATATGATTTGATAAGAGATGTAAATTATTTTCTCTTAATGTGAACAAATATTATAAAGTCGAGGATAATATTGTAAATAGGTAGGTGATGACGGATTACAGTGAAGGCCAAGATGGTCTTCCAGTCTTGCCAGAAGGATATATGTGAATAAAACAACTTATTTTCGCGCGATAACAGTCAGGATAATATGCAGAATAATGATGATACAATTTCTGAGAAGAAAAATTAATATGTAACACTTGGGCGCTGTGGCAGAATAGAATTCCATATTACATTTGTTTATCTGATATACCACACAGTTGTAGAGTGATAATAATTTAATAGTATCACTACGTCCTACATCAAATAAACATATCTAATATGGAACTTTAGAGCGGTGATAAATAACCCATATATCTAAAACAGTTGAAAAAAGCCATCCTCGGTATATTGATGCTAGTTGGCGTTAAAGTTCACAGCCTATGCTATCTTTTCCTAAATAGATGTCAATATGAGTCCAGGCTCCAAACGATAGGTGATCAGTCAATGGAATAGAGAGTTAAGTAGTCACACACTGTTTAACAAATACTGTCATTAGAACTATCTACGTTCCTATCAGAAGTCGACTAGACAATGGTAATCAGTTTAGGGCAATACCTGATTTTCTTTAGAACGTAGGCTCCTTTAGGATACACATTACGAAGCGTGATTTCAAAAACACGGCATACAAAAATCTATAACAAACTCCTTGCTCGCATGGGACCATTGATAAGTGACAAACGTTTTTGTTTCTAGGACAATCCACATGATGTTTCACAGACGCATTGTAAGAGAGAGGGAATCTAGGTGCAGTACATTCAACTCTCAATAAAAATCTGTCTGTTTCTGGCATCATAAGCTGATCTGTTAGGCGAAAGAGGAAAACTTAGAAACACTAACTACTAAGCTTTTAATTCATACCATTAACAAGCTGAAACTACTATCTGATGGCTTGTAGGAAGTAATTATAACTCTCTGTGTCATGTAGGTCCACTCAATAGTTACGTGTTGGGGAATCAGCATGGAGCGGTTAAGTGGTACTGGGTCTCTGTTGCTGGCTAGTGAAAACGGGGGATTTTCTATGTACTAGGGACTACAGGGAGAGCGCAGCCGCATTCGACGGTGAGCTTCCTCGTGGCCTCGCCGGATATTAACCTATACGCCATCAAGTTGACTTAGTGAAAACCACGATTTTGTCAGCTGCCAGGATTCCGTTTAGTAAGCTGGGATAAGTAGGAACAAAAGGTAAGATGAATCGAGTTTCTTAACTCCGGTAATCATTGTTTTTGAACCAATCTCCCTAGATGGAAGTCAAGTCTTAAATAACGAAGGTAAGCGAAATTCGGTCTAGAATTACACTATAGTTAGCCCTAACCTTGGATGTAACTCGGTAGCTCGAAGAGATTTACCTCTACCGGCATTATGGGTACATGAGTCAGACTTCCTAGAGAAAAGATGAGCTGCACTTAGGTTCTAAAGCTTGTGCAGGCTTCAATGAGACACGCCCCCAAAGACGTCTTCCCAACGAGAAAGTAACTAGAGTAAAAGAACCGATTATCCGGCGAATGTGTATACGTTGAAGCCTGACAGGTGGGAGGATTCTGTGGTAGTGACCAGTTCGATGGCGAGTTAAAAGAACGCTCTGGAAAGGATGCTTGTTTTCATGCGGATGCGTTGCTTGGATGCTCCATGCTACCCAAGGAAACCGATTTACCAGGTTTGTGTTGGAACTTCTATAACACTGAAGACCGCCCTGGAACTTCGAGCTGGGCCGAAAATTGGAGTGAAACCTCAAAACTTAGAACTATTACCTGATGATTTGAACACAACTTCTGACCAACAAGTTGAGTTAGAATCCACTCTTCTTAGGTTTTAACAGTGATTGTATATTATGACCTGTGTGTATGCAATAGATGGGCATCACAGTCCAAGAGCAGTTAAACACTGAGTTGGTCAATATGGTCTGAGAAATACATGCATACTTATTTGTTGAAGCACTCAACTGGTGCTAGGTTTGAATACTCCATCACCTAGGTAAGTTTGAGCAGCCAGACGGTATCAGTAATCCCGATAAAATCTATGAATCTATGACTAGCTCACGTAACCAATACAGGCAATTTTTGAGCTACATTATTATCTTACATGCTTGTGACTGTTAGTGAAACGACCCCTTTCCATCAAGATCAAAGGTGTTGAAATGTTTTTGGACCGACAATCTAGTGGTTATATATATGTATATGTTTATAATTCATGTAAGTATACGTTTCTGATAGACAATATGAGAGTTGCTAGGCGAAAAAAACTACCGCCTTACAAAGCTTAAGGCCACTGAAATATGGATGAATAAAACAGGTCCAACAAAATATCATGATTTCATACAATTCTTTTCCTTCACAAGTTTGATTCGCACAACACCTGTAACAGAATGACGGGAATCCACTTTATTTCGCGGTTTCTCATCGGCTGTTTATAATCTAAGACAATTTTAACATTAATTTATACAGAATGTTTACGTACTCAAATCAGTTTCATAGAAAATTAAATGTGCCCCTAAAAAGGACTTATACACCTGTTAGGTATAACAGCAGCACTCTACCGAACGAATCGCTGACTGAGACGATCAAAGGTTGACAAGTCTGATCTTTATGTTACCTCCAACTGCATCAAACAACCACCATGTACACCCCTAAGCACATACACTAGACGACAAGAAAGATGGGTTTGTGATTGCATGTCTGAGCATATTTTAAAGGAATTGCGATTGAGAGGTGAAGATGTTTTAAACAGCGCTATTGTTTATTGACATGAAGTTGATATTCAGAAATCATTCAAAACAATAAAATAGATGAATTTGAATTTGTTGCGTTTCACTGAAGTGTTAACCATTAAACGATTAAAACCGAATTTGTGATCAGAAAGAAACAGTTATCAGTCTCTGCCTACCATGGCTTGTGTTCTGTTGACGATCATCGTGCTTTTCTACATACTACTGTCGATTTATACAAGTTTTCTTTGTTATTTTAGATTTCACATCCTTGATTTAATTATCTGAATTCCACTTATATTAATTCTTAGTTGATATACATCTTATTACCTTCTTTTACATATTTTGCGTAATCTTTCTCAATACCATTGTCTCCTCCTCTTATCCAACTTCTGCACTGGTATATATTCATCTAATCCTTTTACATATTGGGAAACTCAGTTCAGTATGTTAGTTCTGAATACTTGTTCACTCCATTCATGTTTTCAATTACTTCATATGGAGATCATGTGAAGAAATGAAAGCTTGTGGGCAATCGTGGCGCCAAGTTCAGAAGATTGCAGAGAATAGAGTGAAATGAAGGTGTGCTACTGAAGCTCTATGTTCTACAACGAATCCAAGGGATAAATAATAATATCGATGCTATCTTTACCTAAAGCTGATAATTTTCTAACTAACTTATTCGAGTAAGCAAACATTTTCTACTAATTGATCTTAAAATTGTCATAGGTTGTACACCGTTGATGACAAAACCATGAAGTAAAATGGCCAAATGCTATTCACCTAAACCTGTTGTTTTCGCTCTATTTAAAACATGATGAATAACAGTTAACTTTAAAATATTCACGTTTACTTACAGAAAAACTCAGAAATAAGATGAAGTTTGTAAATCTTTAGTCGATGACTGTCATTTTCCATGCGACGAAAGAATACCTATAGAGTAGAAAACAGTTGCAGCATCAAAGAATAATCATAAAACGGAAGTAAACAAGTTTAAAATATTGAAAACAGATGGTACCTTTTAAGAATTTCGATAGAGTAATTAGAAGACGAAGTTTATCTGAACAATGTGATGCATTTGTGCAATACATTTCGAACAATCTGATCACACATTTACTTGTCAAGTCAATATATATTAAACCGAAGAGTGGGAGGACAAATACAACAATTAGCACAATATGCGATTAAAATTAAGAAAGATTAGAACAAAGAGAAAGTGGCCTAGTTGATACTAATCTTGGTAAGAAAACAAAGTTTACCAACGTAGGTGTAGTGTAAGAACAAATCATTTCTGTACACATAAAGATGGTTTCAGTTTGTGTACAGCTATCACTTCCACAAATCTCAGAATATGTCCCTGTCTGTTTCTATGTAAAACTTTGGAAGCTGTTTGAACATTAATTTTGTGATATGTTTAGCTATAGATGAGAAGGGTCGTTTCCAACCAGCGTTTATCACTGTTTCACACTCTGTTTGTTCCTGAAGCCATTTAAGTACATGTTCTCCCACCCTCAGCTGCTTCCTATGTATGTATGACCCCATATATATACATATATATATATATATAGGTATATATATAGGTATATATATATAGGTAAACACAATGGGATGTGATATAATCATTAATGCAGTGTTTAGGTTTTTGGTGAAGCATGTGTTTTGGCTTTTCACAATGATAAGGTTAGCTGCCTAATATGTTCTCTTAATGGCTGGTGTCAGCCTACGTCTTAAAACTTTACTATTCAACTCCTCTCTGTATCGCAAAGTGATATGAACACTTTTCTTAGGAACCGTGTATAGAGTTGGCTTCTATGCTATTTGACCTCTACAACGGTTTATTAACTTCACTGGATATCGATTTTCCATAAATGTTTTGGTTAGTAACTTGATATCTTTATCCATCGTATCTGGTGTACTGATACAATAGATCCTATTAAACAGGCATCTTATTAGACCTCATTTAGATTGGAAAAAAACTGAAAATTCAGATATTGTCCTATCCATTTAGGGTTTCTGTAAACAGACCGTCTTATCAAACCATCTTCTCATCGACTCAGGAATATATCTAGGAATGGTAGATGATTATTATTCTCTTTCTCACAAGTCAGGCTGATGTCAGTTTGTACGGTGTTGTCTTTTTAGGAGACAAGCCATATCCTTATGCCTCTCACAAATCACTATGTTGTCATAAACATATCTCTTGTAAAGAGAAACTTTAGGGATGAGGTCAACAGCCAGATTTTCGATATATGACACAATTATCAGCTAGTAACGATCATAAGCTACATCTCCCACTCTTCGGTTTAATATATATTGACTTGACAAGTAAATGTGTGATCAGATTGTTCGAAATGTATTGCACAAATGCATCACATTGTTCAGATAAACTTAGTTTTCTAATTACGCTATCGAAAGCTTAAAATATCACTGAGAAAATATATGGAACCCACGAAAAAACAATCTAAAAAGATATTTTGTCAAGAGACATCAAACCCTCTTTTTTGCAATCTTTCCATTCCAGTGTACCAGTAAAGCAATTGTTTCATGAATAAAACTTTCTCCGTAAAGTGAAAAGAAAAACAACTCAACATCAACATTGGCGCATTATTCAATAATTAAGATTCAGTCAGACTAGACACTGTTTTAACAATGAATACTTTGAAGTAGAGTGTACTATATATAATCTCTGCGATGAAATTTTCATTCCATAATTTGACTACATATACTTACATCCCCAATAGCTTTTCAATAGTTTAGCTTTATGTATCAGTGATGACCCCATAACAGTGAATAGACAACAAACTCTGATAAAAATCCTTATAAGATCACAGGCGTGAAAACATCAAGACATAGTATATTATTTTACGTCAGCAAAGAACGAAATGTAATCATGTAAGAAATATATGTTATCTTCAACCATTCAATCGATTTCATATGATGTGATGATATCCTAGGTAAGAGAGATACTACACTATTTTTAAAAGGATGAAGTTATGAGAAGTATAAGAGTCCGTTAAACCAAGCATTACTGATGTTTTTGCAGAGGACACTCAAAATGAATCGTGAAGTTCTTGGAAAAAGTCTACAATTAACACAAGACGAACAAGTTGAAATCTAGGCCATGAGATTTTCAAAATGTAAAATGTGTAGACAGCAATTTAGAAGGGACAGATGGTAAACAATTCACGATCATAACGATAGTAATAATAATAATAATGGTAATAATAAACTTTATCCCAAACAATATGATACAGAATGGAATTCTCAGCAACAAATTTATTCCCAAAACAACATTTTGAAACGAAATGATGATTGCTTAGGAATAATGCTTATAATAACAGCCTTAAAGGCAATAATATGAAGCAGTCGATTGGTGTTGTATTAGCGTCCTGTCTTTAGGGGTATTAGTTTATTCAGCTAATAGAAAAATGTGCTATTCCAGATACATATCCAAGGGATGTAAATATGATGACTATTGTGCATTCAAAAGTTCATCATGTCAATCTTACATGACACATTTGTGAAAGACATATTTTAAAAGATTAAAACAAACCGAAATGGAAGAAGTTGATATAATATACACCGTGGAAAATTTTATTGTGGTAGACTAGTGTTCAAGCACTCCGCCATAAAAAAAGATAGTTAATTCAAAGCAAAGGAAATAGAAAACCATAAAATTGATTACTATGCTTAGTAGACAAACATATCATCCATTCAAACAATAATCAAGGACATCAAATAAGGTACTCATGTATCATGACCCCGTACATGAGTTTATGTACTATACCGTTTTGTGAGGGTTTTTAATAATAACCGGTTTCCCAGGCCATAGAAGGTGGAGAGAGCTTTGAGCCCAGAAACCACTGGTTGCTCGAATCAATAAGTCACACTTTCACTTAAGTGCAATGATGGTGTCTAAAAAATTCATTCTTATGAATAGAAGTTGTATGATTTAGAAATAATGATATTTAAAATATACAAAAATATCCCACAACTAGATTTATAGCAAGAAATACCACCATTATCATTATTATCTTACTTCTGCTGCCCACGATGGCTCAACATGATGCTTGAGTGCGGGAGAAAGATGTCGTAGATTTTCCATCTCACAAACAGCCTTATATACAGTTGGTTCGCTGATACGTCTGACCATCAAGGCTGCAAAAGCCGAATATAGATGGATTTTTTGGATTGAATTATATAGGAATGAATGTTATCGAATGTGAATACCTTTCATTTTATATATATATATATATATATATATATATATATATATATATATATATATATATATATATATATATATATCAATAATTTGACTGAGGCACGGACAGACAAAATCAACATAAAACCTCGCGCATCGGTTCAAACTGCCACTCTTCACGCAAGCATACAAAGAACAGGTGAGTAGTAAAAGAGTGATATTAAAGTCGACAAAAACGTATGGGAGGAGAGGAAATTTAAAAGTTAAGGTTAGTCAAAACATTGAAGCTTTAAAAGAAATCAAAGAGTGAATACACGTGTGCCTGTGTAACCGACTTTAAATCATTTTAGCATAAGCCCTAAACCACTGATTCCCATCGTCTCGGGGACTACAGCCATGTAGTCTACACCCTACTACACATCAATCAAGGACTTCATCTTATCACATCTTAGTCTAGCCTCCTTGAACCCTTTTCCAACCTAACCCAACTTTCCCCAGCATTGCACATCGAGGCAGACGGTGGTTTGGCATGCGCGACATATGTCCGAGCCACCTCAGTCGATGAAGGTTCACAACCTCATCAATCGACTTGTCTTTCCTGCTTGAGAACCTTACCTTTGACCTTAATATTGCTCATACAATGATTCCACCATATACGAGACACATATATCAAGTGGAAACTACTGAAACGTCCCTAGCACCTAAACTTCAATTAGTGAAAGAGGTTTCTAACCTGTGGTACTGGTTAAAAACCAAGTGCATAAATCTACGGATTACAAATGTGAAACTGGCATAAAAAGATTACTTGAAAATTCCATCTCTTGAAGTGATAGGCGGTATAAGTGTATTAACCGGGTGACATGATAGAATAAGGTAACAAACACTAGTGGCTCTCAGTAGTGAACTTCGCAAATGACTTAGTGATTTGATTGGTGAACAATCAAGTACAAAGCAAAATATTTCCACAGAAGAATAAAATCATTCGATTCTATACACTTGAACTCCATCTTATTCTTCCACTGGAAAAGGTATTCGGCTAATCAGAGTAAATACCTTTCCTACTTGAGGGTTACGATCAAGAGATACTTTCCAAAGAGATAGCGATTACGTCAAAATCCTTTTATGTCTCCCGAAGAGTTTTGAATCTATGTTTCATTGCTAGTTGAAAATATGCATAGGATATCCAGTCACATCTTTTCTCCGTTAATTTACACAAATGATGCCGTCTCGTTTGACACTTAAAGATGTATCAACCGAAGCATGACCCCATGATAATTAATGAGCACAGCAAAAGTCTTATTTCTTGTTCGTAACTCTTTAACGTTACGCGACCGAGAACAGAACTCAAGACTAGATGATCCTGTGATGCACAAACTAGCACTCAAACAAAGCGCAACTTTAAAAGCTAACACTTCCTAGAAAGGATCAAATCACTATGTCAACAGATTAGTCTCACTTTGAATGTTTCTGACCATCGTTATTAAACAATTCGCTTGTAATAGCGGACTGAGTTAAGAACCACTGGTTATTGACAATTTATCGACAACAAAACCTGTCAAGCTTCTTCTCTAGAATGAGCCTACAACTGAAAAGAATACTGCTAAGAATAATCCGATTTCCACACAACCAATCAGTTTCCTTACAGACCATTCAGGTTTTCAGTATAAAAATGTACTAGGTAAACTGTTTTTCTTCGAATAAGTAAACATAGCTAGTGATATCGAATAATCAACTAGTTAGCAACTCAATAACTGTGCAAAGGTTTATGTGCCAGACTCTGGAGCAAAAATGTACGATGACACCATAATAATTGACTGGACAAAAATCCCCTCTACATGTTCAATACAAAAAGCCTTCTAGTTTTCTGTGTGACTATGATTTGTAAGGGCTTTAAACAAGTCAATCTATATAAGGCATATACTATCGTTTTCGTCTGCATGTTTAGTGAACCATTACTTTAGTGATCTACATACACAAAATTGTAATCATAACCTCGAATCCGATTTTGTCCGCTTCAGTTCAGTTAGATACAATCTGTCATTGTATATCGCAAGCATTGGGTGTGAAGAATTCCAGACTGGTACAGAGCATTGAATAATGCTGGTAACGAATGAAATGAAGAATACTTAGAACTACTGACATCCTAACGACTTCTGATCTTCTAGAGCGAAATCAAAAGACGGTTATTAACAAGATGAAATCACAAAAACAGTTCATGTGACCAAAAGATTGCACAAAAAACTGTGAAGATTACATTGACAAGATGTATCAGATTCACAAAATACGGTTACTTAAAATCAACTGCCTAAAAAGATAATACTTTGATGTCTGTAAACATGCTTGCTATGTTTGAGTTTCCCTAGAAATTTCAGTGCTCATTACAGTATATTTGTATGATCAGGTGATAAGTAAGAAACGCGACTTCTCGATTTCGCTGCTGATTACACCGCCTCCCCCTAAAGTATCACAACACAAAATATAGAAACATTTCAAGAAGAAAGAAAATGCAACATATGATTATATAAGCACTCACCAGATACAAGTAAGTCCCAATTTTGTTCAGAATGCACTTGCAACAATCCTTCAATCACTTCAGACTCCAAGATGATGACCGCATTTTTAGGACTGTGAGATATAATACGATTACAAAAGCTTTGAAGACTTCTATAATCTTTTCTACAGATATACAGTCGGAAAAATAAAAAAATTCGTTAAACAGTAATCATCAAACCTCAAAAAGTTGAAACATTTTCACTAACATCCATTTTCTCAAATTTTTCCTCTCTCATACACTTCAATGTACTTGATCATTGCTCTTTTTCTATACATTTGTTCTTCACATGATTAACTATACATCACTGGGGGCTCTACGCTTATAATTTAACAACAATAACAGACGATGAAGTCATAATCTATCTTAAGTGAGAAGGCAGACAACTGCTCATAAATCAATTACGAAATCAGACAGTGCATGACAACTCAAGGTATTCTCAGTGATCATTATCTCTGAAATGTTACTCACATATGCTGGGAACAGTGAATGTAGAGCCTATTCGATGTGTATAGTTCGAAATAGTTACCTAAGATTGTGAAGGTACACAGATTATCAGTTTTGAAATATGTGTTAACCAATACGAAGTCACCATCCATCTTATTATATAGTGATGACTGGAATAAACAGAAGTTGAAGAAGGCGTCACAGTGAACAGATCAAGAAATAAATATAGTCTATGGTTGATTGTTGGAGTTATGAGGATAACTGGTGTATGGCACATGACAGACGATAGAAATACCTGATTGGTAACCGCTAGACGCTGTTTCCAAAATGAGAATAATGACGTTAATACATAGCATTTTAATACCAAATGCCAAATGGGTCAGTCCTCATTCACTGATTTTGCGCTCGTGATATTTGGTTCACTGTCACAGCTTATTTTCAATGGTTGATTTCATCTATGTATGGTGTCCAAAGGTATGATAAAAAGCCAAATTAACGTATCACTATGCAATATTTCACGTCGCTCAGTATATGATGACGGTTGTATTATTTTCTTATTATACATTCAGAGTGATATAATCTAGAATGCAACCAGTCACTATCAAAATGAGACTTCACAAAACTGCTTACCGGGGCATTTCCCCCTCAACTCGAATCAGCAAATGAAGATATTAAGAAACAAAGTAGAAAATGGAGAAACATGGAAAATAAAGTGATTGAAAAATTATAAGAAGAGAGGAAGAATGGAGTAGAGTAAATAAAGGAATAAGATATGATGCTTATGAAAATAATGTATGGATACATCTACATCACCGACACTGATTAAGTGGTACATCATCTCGAGTCTTCAATCATTAATTTCGATTTTAATATGAACCCTAAACAAGAAGTCTACATTTAAATCCCTAGAGTGCTCAAACAAACAGTCAAAAACTTCAAAGACTGATGCCACTTTTTAGTCTTATGGTCTTTAAGCGACAAACGAGATAGGTATTGGGCTAACGAAAAGGAAATGCTAGATATGCGTTAACAAAAGAGGAAGTCCAAAGAAAAACTAAATTCAAGATAAAAAGTGACCTATGCATGAAGTCAACATTGGTGAACGAAATGTGTGTAGGGTGAAGGGAAGGTTAACATGCAACATTTACCATTCATGCAGAAAAAGAAACAACCAGACTGAGTGTATGCAGGTTCATCCACTACGTTTCAAGTCAAATCTCTCTCTAGTGGATTCGATTCACTAGCTGAAAGTTGAGTCTTCAATTGAATCAATCATAATTTAAAACCTAAGAACAACCACTAACATTTGGAAATAATGTGAATCACCAATCGATGACTAATTTTATGTATGCGATTCAGTTCGATAGAGTTCAGAGGACAGAACTAATCAATGCCATTTAGAAACTCAGAGAGGGCATGTGTTCTATGTTAGGTGGTTTAAGGCAACTAACAGGAAGTCTCGGACACATGCTTCGTGCTTGGTAGTTATTCTTCAGCAAAGCATATTCATAACCTCCAGATTCATGTTCTTCATCAGAGATCTAAACTAGTATCACCCAAAATTCGCATTCACAGACGTTTCCATTGCGCTATTCAGGTCACGATTGAATTCTTATAGGGATGAATTAGATAAACTGATAAATCACCAGAAAGTAACCAATGTTATGTTGCCTGATCTAAGTGCTAACAGAACTTTCCTGATTAAGTTCGCGACATGGTCACCAAACTAGGTGATGGGTCACTGTTATGCACTCTTAAGTATGAGTTTCTATCACTTAACAAGTAAATCATTTTATCACACTTATTCAATAAGAAGCCTAAGCGAAAGGTTTACCGCTCTTTGTAGTCATCTATTACAGAGAAAGCAAGCACATGAAATGTTAATCACGTAAATTCGTGACACCAAAAAAAACTTACCTCGCGATAAATAGATAACAAAGCTCCCTAATCGAGCCTGGAGCGTTGATAAGAGTATTTTTCATAAACGACTTCCAGAAGATTTGCTTAACATCATTAATAGGGAACGATATATTATGTCTTCGAAGTAACATACAAGAGGATACGAAAGGGTTGTGAATTCTTCGAGAAAACAGCTTGAATATATCGGATGAATTCATATTCAGATCGATAGCATCTAGAGTTAATGCGATAAGAAGACAGGGTTAAGTTTATATATATATATATATAGTTAGTAGCCTGTCCTAAGCCCGAATAAAGAGGGAAGGTTTGGCATACCGCTAGTAACCCTACCCCGTAAAACCAATCCAATCGCTAAAGAAACTTACAAGCACAAAGAAACTACTAAAAATAAAAACAAACTTATTCCTCGCTGGAATCGGAGGGACGAAATGATAGCGGTCGGTGAAAGACTTTGGAAAGCCAGTCGGCCGATGTGTCTTCTCTTCTCTCAATGAAAGCGAAAGTAAGCATAAGGACACGAAATGTCCGCATCATGTATGAACCTACCAAGACTGCCCAGATTGCAAACGAGATGAGAAGATATAGCATAGAAGTGCCAAGCAGAGAATCTGCGAAAGCAGGTGGGATGGAAGTGGACTTTCCCAATTGTCAACTGCACTATATATGTACCTAGCAAGGCTGCCAAGATTGTAAAAGAGATGAGTGCTTGGAATCTGCAAAAGCAGATCGAATAAAAGTGGACTTTACAAACGCTTAACTAGAGAGTCAATCATCAACTCCAATATTGTCATCCAGGCGACAACAACGAGCACACTGGGTTTTCGAGTGGCTATCAAGATGACTTCAACAGCATCGATGACCCTCAAGCAGTGGAAACCAATCTCCTCCAGCATCACGATCATGGCAGCAGAAAGATTAAACCCAAAAAGAAGGAAAGTTACAGTCATACAATGATACGCTATGTACCTACGGATAAACCAGATCAAGGGAAGGAGTAATTCCACAGACAACTGCAATCAGCTCCGGTAAAGACAACACCCCAGATAGCGACATCAAAATTCTAATAGGTAATATGAATGCCAAACTGCGAGCAGACAACACGGGAAGAGAACTAACCATAGATCGAGAAGCGTTCGGTGCCATGAACGGGAATGGAGAACTATCTGCAGACTTCTGCGCATTCAACGATTTGGTGATTGCAGGCAATGTGCTCAAACACAAAGATATTCACAAAGCGACATGGACTTCACCAGACACCAGGACACACTACACTAAAAATCAGGTCGACTTCATCTCAATATAGAAAAAGTGGAGACGTAGCCTACTTGAAACAACATCAACAACGGTTCACACCACTCACTATCTAGTTCAAGCAACCTACCTTCAAAATCAAGTTGAAAGCTTGCACAGCAGGTGGTGATAAACTTCACTTCAAGGTAGAGTTCAACACCCTAAACAGAAACTCAACTGAAGAACGAAACTTCAAACGACATCTTCACCTCAGCCATCACGACAAAATGGGAGACATTAGGCAGCATCACTGAAGAAACCTCCCTCGAACAACACTGGAACTCCTTGAAAGCTATGTGGAAAGAAACCTGCATAACCGTACTACAAAGGAAAAGGAAACAAGACAAGGAATCGATCTCCACGGACACATGCGAAGCTGATAGAGCAGAGAGCGGAAGATGCTGAAGCAGAAGATGAACCAGTGCACTGCACTGCACTGCAGGGATGAACAACAAATACAGCAACTGAACATAACCTATAAAACACTACACCGGACAAACAAGTCAAGAGGAGTGCACGCAAAAATAAAAGACACTTCTACGACACACTGGCAAGTGAAGCACAACAGGCTGCTGGTAGGAGAGACACAGACCTGACAACTTCATATCAAATAACCAGGTTACTATCTGGGGGGAAGAGATCAACTAAGACGAAACCAATGGAAGATAGTGAAGGAAGGCTAGTCATCAAAGAGGAGGAGGAGGAGAAACAAAGGGAACGATGCACTGACCACTTCAAAACACTCTTCAATCGACCACCACCACCACCACCACCACCACCTGCAACCAGTCCACAAATACCACCAGCAACCACAGAACTACAGGTGGACACAGGCCCTCCAACAAAAGCAGAAGTCCTGAATGCCATAAAAATGCTGAATTTCAGGAAAGCATCATGACCAAATGGAATCCCACCAGAAGCACTGAAAACAGACGCAGAGACAACAGCGGACATGCTCACACCACTTCTACTGCAGAAGGTTTGGAATGAAGGAAGGAAAGGTACCTACCTGCATACTGGAAGAAGGGATATCATGTCAAACTTCTAAAAAAGGGTGACCTAAGTTTTTGCAGGAACTGGTACGGAATTATGCTCCTGTCCCTGTCCACAACAAGCAAAATATTATACCACATCATACAGGAGACTAAACAATCCTCTGAATTTCGAATTACGACCGGAACAGGCTGGCTGGCTTCAGGAAGAACAAAACATGTGCCCATCAAATTGCGACACTACGCAACGCATCATCATAGACCAGAGTGTAGAATGGCAGTCAACTCTTTACGTCAACTTTATCAACTTTGAAAAGGCCTTTGACAGCTTCAACCCACATGTAATTTAGCAGTTGCTTCTACATCACGGAGTGCCACGAATTTCTATTAACCTCATTCGACAGGTATATGCTTTATGACAATGATGCTACATTCCAAGTGATTCACACACCAATGGATAGCTGAGTGACGCTTTTGAAGTGAAGATAGGAGTAAGACAAGGTTGCCGCCTATTGTCATCTATGATTTTCTTGATTGTGGTGGACTGGATCATGCAGCAAAACGCGAGGAGCGAGAAGGCGGGTATATGCTAGCTGGACGGATGTAAAGATTCGAGAGGAAGATTTGGATTCCGTCGCCGATGATGATTTATGTCTAATGTCATGTCGCACAAAGTCGAAGATCTACAGGCAAAAACTGGCAAGATAACAGAAGATGCGAGGCAGTTAAAACTGGACTGAATGTAGAGAAGACGGAGGTGATGCAGATACTTAACCAACAACAAGCATCGATCACCATCAACGGGAGAAATCTAAAGGAAGTAGTCTCTTTCGCTTATCTGGGCAGCATTGTTTCAACTAGAGGTTGCACAGGCACAGACGAGGATGTCAAAACCAGGATCGGAAACACAGCAAGACAGGCCTTTATTAATTTGAAATCAGTATGGAGATCTACTTATTCAGCACAAAGAACAAGATCCAGATTTTTAACACTAATGTCAAGCCAACGCTTCTATGTGATGGTTGAGAGACGCGGCGCGTTACGAAAAGCATTCCCAACAAACTGCAGACATATATCAACAGCTACCGCCTACGCTCGGTACTGAAGATCAGATGGTCAAAATAATGAGAATAAGTAGCAAGAAACTCTGACTGGCAACGGACCAACCAACAACCGACCGTCCAACAAATATGCAAAAGAAAGTGGAGATGGATTGGACTGGGGACACACTGAGAAGACCGCTTGGAGACGTCACGCGCCAGGTCAGACCGTCGAGTGGAAGCCGAAGGGGGAACGTGTCGGGCGTCTGAGGGTGACATAGAGGAGCTGGTGTGAGGAAAAGATGATAGCTTCTGGGCAGTCGTGGCACCAGGTTCAAAAGACTGAAGAGAACAGAGTGAAATGGAGGCGTGCTACTGAAGCCTTTTGTTTTCATATCTATATGAACAAATGATTTTGTTTTTTTCAACAACGAAACATGCCTACTGGGTCATAAAAAAAAGGAGAGACAATTCAGCGACTAAAATTTTCTTTTCGACGACATTAGTTTCGAAAGCCGCACAACCGTACTTACACATATCATTCAGTTTGTACTCAGGACTAGACAACATGAAATTGGTCGCTCTCCTGTGACTAATCAGTGTTTGTACACGGTCCTAATACCTCAGTGGTAACGTCGCTGAATGTAACACTGATAACGCGGGTCCGAATCTCAGACGGGATATCAGTTTCATTAATGTTGCAGATACGTTTTGCTGACAAGTGCCAACAAGCACGAAACCCAGGTCCAAGGCTTCATGCCGATTCCCTCCAACCAACCAATGTTATTGCTCATAATCATATTAGTGTAATCACACTATTTTCGACGTCTGATTTTATAGTTCCAACACCCTTTTCATATTCTTTGTTTTTATTGGTAGTAAAATCCTCCATATCTCTGGTATATGTGTTGCATCATTCCTATTACATGGGTTGGATGTTGATTCGATGACCAAGGAAGGATTCAGTAATCAGCCTGTTTCTTCACCTGATTATATTGGATTTAAGTACAGTGGCTTTATCCCATCCTATTGTGTGGTTGTATGTTAATGCATGCATTGCAATAGCTGAATTTGTTTCCTAGATTACTGATGTTATTGGGGTCTGTCATTCTATATTTAGCTAGATTCTTATGTTTCGCTAATTTAACTGCCCTGACCGGATACTGTGACTCATGTATTTGACCTCACATTCATTGCATGGAATTTGGTGAACTAAATTATTTCGCTTAATTGGTTCTATCGGATCCTTAAGCCGACAAAGCCTCTCTCTGTATGAGTTTGTAAGTTCAAATGCCGCCCTAATTCCAGTCTTGTTCAGAATCCTACCGGAAGCTTCTGATGTTTCTTCCTCACTATAGAAATTTTGAGCTCACTTCTACTTGTGTTGTCACGATTACTCGTATCACTCTTATTATTTCGTTTCTTGTGTTCGTACCAGTTTCTCAATAAACGGTAAAGGATAATTATAAACGCTTCTTTTATGTGTTTCAATTCCTTGTTTAAATCCTTGCACCGATAAGTAAGTTTTCTAGCTCTATTTTTAAGACATTTGACCAAACTCGCCGTAACTGACATTGGAAAAGATGATCTGAAGCCGAGATACCTGTTAGAATGTATCGGTTTCCTGTAGACCATAGTATCCAGGCTACCGTTTGTCCTTCGTTTTATTCTACAATCCAACATAGGTAATGCTCCTTGTTCATTTTTCACCTCGTAAGTGAATTGGATTGCACCTACTAACGAGCTTAAACGTGTGAGGAAATTGTCGATATGTTCCAATTTCAACACAGTATATATGTAATCCACATATCGCCAACAGGATTAAACATTTGTAAAGCCTCATTTCTCTAACTATCCATAAATACATCTGCTACGATAGGAGATATTGGTGGTCACATTGATACTCCTTCTGCTTGTCTCTATATATAATGATGCTACCCGGTTGGCGAAACCTCGGTAGGTGGAATACGGGTCGAACCCGCGACCCATTCGAAAGTCATCTCCCGAAACCAATGAGCCATCTGAGGGCCTTTTTGACGGATAGAAGTAAGCGAAAAATTTAGGTCAAAAATTCCTATCCAGCTAATTGGTCTAAATTCACAAACTTTACACTACCTGTCAAAGAATACGCTGGGACATAACATGTGTAGGCCCATTCGAAATAATGGGTATTACCTTTATAAAAAACATACAGGATTTACAAAACAGTAATATCGAACTACAGACTTTGTGTCTGCAAAATGAACTACAATGTATGCGTTTTTGATATCACATAATGATACATTTTAATATCATTCTTCTCAAGATTTCACTAACCTTCTGGGTTGTCTTCATTGGAGGTCGTTTGAACTTTCGCTCTTAAATTACTCGACTCTTCTGAAGTGAACTTTTTAAAATCTACAGAAAAAGATGAAACAATGTTTAGGTATAGACTTTAGGAAAAACTCAATTGTTTTAGATCACATTGTTCGCTTTCTTAAAATTATTTGCTTCACTTATCGACCAGCTTTTCCTAGATTGACTGGCTGAGTTGATGACAATACTTAGATACATTTTTCATACTTTACTGGCTATGACATCCACAGTGAAATGGAAAAGTGAGTATGAAGGACTGAGTCTACAACAAAGCAGTTAGATTGTGAAATATGACCACTGAAGTTAGGTAACAAGACCTTCGCATAGTAAAACAGTGAAAAATTGACAAATGACCGGTAGTGCGACCTAGCAGTCTACGAGCGATACAAACTTGATGTGAAGAACAATCCACTCTAATCGCTAATCAAAACAACAACAATACCACAGGTACGTGAAGATAGGAAGAGAAGATGGACCGTTGGTACGGTGCTTTTACTGTCACAACAACAGTCAGAATAGTTGAGTGATGGTGAATATATACATTCCAAACGACCTTGGCAAATACAGAATTCACCGAAGGGTTATCAACCAATGAGGGTTCAGCCTTCAGAAGCAATGGGAGAAAAAAGCTAGCAATGGTGCCAGGAGGGTGCGAAAACAGCAGCAATAGAGTTATTTAAAGGTTATAGACAAATATCAGGCAAACGTAAAGCAAAATTAGAGGTATATGACAAGAATGACTTCATATCCTGAATTAAATCATAAATCTTGATACTAGGTTTTCGAATAAGAAGGTTAGTCAGAACATACGATTGGGTACGATCGGGTTCGATTCCTGGTGGGGTCACGGATGCGTACTGATGGGGAGTCCCATACTAGGATGAAACAGCTGTCCAGTGCTTCAAGGGTTCTTCAACTGTTGTCGGTCCGTGATGAATACCGACCGGGAATTCAATATGACGATTAAGATGAAGATCATGTGAGGAAGTAATCGCGTAACTATGATTAATGTTCTGAGCTGTATCACCTAGGGTTTTTAACCACCTATTTTAGTTGTCACAAAAACTTTCAATCTAAGAGGCTACATTTTCATACACAGCTGAGACTAACAGTCAGGGACTTCATGAAGTGATGACGTTTTAGTCTGATCGTCTTTAACCTTCTTATGACCTTAGCCTAATTCAACCAACACTACGTATCGGAGTAGGTGGTAATTAGACACACATTACACATGCCCTAGTGATCAAAGACTTTGAAGGTGAATAAAATCATCGATTGACTTGACCTTTTTACCTTCACACCGAACTTCAGTATAACTAACAAGGTGGCTCCACAACATGCCGACAATAGGAAGGAAACAGTGGGGGAACACCTGGAGCCTTTCCGTATCCTCCTTTCCTTATTACCTAAACATTAACAACGACAGTATTGCAAGGGATACCATTCACGTAAACATGATGGACAAGTTCACGTATAAAATCAAGAAAATCGTTAATTCCCTTGCACAGCATACGAAGTTACAGTGCTAACGCTTCATTAATGTGCATGTGACCATTTCGTTGAATATGAATATGAAATTCTTGATAACTTACATGAACTGCTTAGATCACCAAGTAACTGAAGGTGTGAATCACTGACAGCTACAATTTCCCAGAAAGGTCGTAGAGATTCTACCTTCTATGGATTTAATATAAGCATGTCAAGAAGACGGAAAAAACAACGAATATCACAATGTGAATAGCTAAGATAATGGGAGCATGTGCATACTAAGACCAAAATAATGATGAAAGTAAATAAACAGATTTAAACCTGAAAACCATGAGTGCATCGGAGGATCTCAGATGATATTAAGTCTCATTAGTGATTTCTTCTCAGCCACAACTGTTGAATGCCCGTAAGTCGGCACAAACATTTAAGTTGCCAATTAAGAAAATTACACACACAGACCATACTTACATCTGACTTTAGAAGTTTGTAAATTTCAGATCAGTGTATACAAAAATAAAGGGCTAAGGCTATGGAGTCACCGATACCTGAAATTGTGGCAACATTAACGAATAAAATGTGGACAATAAGGGGGCATCTACAGTAAACTACATAAATAACTTTCATATCCAAACTGGTACGAGTAGTTCAAGTACTCCTATACCACTCAAGTTAACACGAGTTTGCGAGGTTGAAGCAATAAAATCAAATAGATTAACCAATTCGCTAAAATCATTATTATAATACTACATTACTGTATGCTAAATTAAATAAATCAACCTAATATGCGATAATACGATACCACGATGTGGAGCAATATGCACTAACCAGTGAACCACACCAATTATGCAGTAATGTCTGGCACCAAATCGCTTCCCAAAACTCAGTAGACGAAGTGAGGTTCGAGCCGTGAAGCGACCAGTTGAAGGTCAACAACTTAGACCAGTATCTCGCAGCTTCACCTCTTACTAATGTGCACAATTTCGATACCTACACCACAACCAACCGACAGCAGACAGTAATAAAACAATCAAGGTGACAATCTTTAAAAGTAGTATAGCTGGAGGGAGAGAGTGATTGATAAACATATCGTCTGTCCGGTCAACACCAAACACATCTATGATCCATTTACCTTTTTAAATATCTCAATGATTTCACCATATATTGCATGACGTGTTGAAGTGCGTTTCAATTAAACAAACACAGCACAGTCCACTAAGTAGTAAGGAATATATCAGTGATGTTTAAAATTTGCAAATCCTGGTCATCAAATACTTACAGTAACTCATACAAAGCACCAAATTTAGATACAATAGTAAAGAATGTGACGACCTAAAACTGATTGGTTATGAAGGAACTTCCAATGGTGTACTACTGGGAAACTTTAGTGCATGCTTAATATTAATTCGATTCACAACACACAATTTCTAAACACAAAGAATAACAAAAAAGGAATAAGTAGGAGGCAAATTAAGCGAAGGTAAAACTACTGACCAAACCACCACGAGCAGCATAGCGTGGCAATACGAGAAGGTCTTCATCCTCTATTTCCTTTGGATCGAATTTTTCGAAAACTTTGATAGCAGCTGCGCAGTATCCACCAGTCAACAGAATGTTGACAGCATCTCGGGCGAAAGTTTGTCGAACAGACATACGAGGTAACCACTTTAGTACCTGTGGATTGGAAACAAACGGTATTTCAGCAATTCAATACCGAAACTTACGATTATTGTAATCAGTTCGAAATAAAACTATAACAATTAGTTAGACACAACAAAAAACAAATGTATTTACCTCACTCAGATAATAGCCTGAGATGCTTCTTAAAAGTGAGTTGAAACCCAGCTCCGGCCAACTGATAGGCAGACGAATAGCAAGACAGAGAATCAAGCAAACGTTCACTAGCTCAAAATGCCATACTTAAGCAGTAGTGAAATATTATACCAAACAGGAACATAAGTGAGGATAAATAGTGAAATGAGTTATTGAAATATACCCAGCAGCCTTGCGCACATTCATATGGTGGGCAGTCAGCCAAACATATTGTATGGGAGCTAATAATACTATCCGCCTCCCAAACCTCAATGGGTGAGGCGGGGCTCAATCCGCGATCTACTTGGTTGAAAGTCACCACCTTAAACCAGCGAGCCACAGTAAATATAAAGTAACAGGATTTTGAAAATTTGAAAGAGACGGAATGGAAGAATCTTAACTCCAACCGGATTTCAGCCATCACCTAGGGTCTCTAGCAACTGATTCACACTACCGTAAGGACTTCAACCGAGTATTCTTTGCAGTTAAAAATAGCTCAAACCAAAGGTAGCTTTCTTCAAACCCAACGCTGTTCTTAGCACCATTACACACCACGGTAAGTGAGAGCTCAGTATGCGTAACACACATCGCAGCGAATCTATCCAGAATCAAAACCATACCGATTGGCTTACCGTTCCTTCACCTGTAATAACAGTATTCCATAATCTTGTTAACACGTCAACTCAATAATGGGTCCCACAAAACACAAAACAATAGCGAGTACCAATAATCCCGAAGTATTGTTTCTGATGAGGTTGGAAACAATCATAAAGAACACAGTATCAGTCCATTGCACCATGCTGTTTGCAAACAGGATGTCTTAATAGTATGTGTATACTAATTTACACAAAAATTCAGTAATCACGCAAAATTCGTACAGTAAGTAATGAATCGCACTCATTGTCTGAGAGGTAATGATACTATTTGTCTATCCACACCTCAGTAGGTGCAATGGAGTTTTTGAAATCATGATCTCTTAACGGAAAGCTGAGTATCTCAACCAATGAGCCACAGCTTCGCTCCCATAGAAATACTTTTCACAATAAAAACCGATGCAGTAAGAGATACTTCCTTTTCACTCATTGAAAAGTCAATGAAAGTACAACAAAAAAGATGAATATGACGTCATACACAAAACAGTGTATGATAAAATAAAATGCACCCAATAACCACCAATTAGATTAAGTTTCAGTCTGCAACAAAAAATGATGAGAACCAAGTGCATTAACTGATGGAATGCAGTTCAAGAGGTTTACTAAGTGCAACTAACACGCATTATTTCTGTAAAATCTGAAGATACCAGAGGATTGAACAGTTCAGAATAGAAAGAATGAGTTTACTGTTCGTTAACAGATGACTCAATATTATCCTAGTAAACTGACCAGCAATACTGAAAACACAAAAACGCCTCAGTATACGTAAACAGACCGTTAGGTTAAATGTCTTCCAACCTATCATGAGTCCACTTGCTTTCACTATACACACAACTAAGAGATTAAAAAGGTGAAGGTGAATGACAGGAGAACAGGAACTTTTCTGTCAGTCTTCACAACATTGTACACGTGCAGTGAAATCATTGGCCGAGTACTTTTTCATGAAGATAGGGCTCATCGTTTAAAGCATTTGATTTTCAACTAATGACTCCCAGATTCAAGTCTTGCTCCAATTCTTCAGCCTGGGTAATTGGATAGTATCATGAACGCCCATAAAATAAATCTGGCCCATATACTAGTAAATAAACCTATGCAGGGCTCACATATCAATTTTCAGGTTAAGTGAAGGATTTTGGATTAAAAAAACCACAGCGAAGGAGGCGGTTAAAAAAGGCTTCAAGTTTCTACCTTGAATGTGAGCTGTGACTGCATTTCTAACCGATGCCTCACGAGTACAAACCTAGCTTCGCCAGACGAGGTTTAGACAAGCAGTTACTATCATCAGCACGAAGACAATAGGTGTGACTTATTGCAGAATGAACGAACGTGCACAAGCTTACTGAGTGAATTCCCATTTTTGTTCGAACCTTGGACGTAAAACATTATTCAAGACAAAACCAAAATGACCGATGTCCGAATAGCATCGGAACGACGTGTATCACCTTACTAAAATGACAATTCTTAAAAGGATTCACGTGAGGTACTGACCGCATATTATTATCCCTGCCAGCTGCAGGTTAGGAGATAAAAGTAAACAATAGATGAGAACGGTGAATAACATGATTTGAAATTGATATTACTGATGTAGCCAAACTCAGCTAACGCCTGAGCCGAAATTCACATCCACCCATCACAACTGCTATTACTATTATTATTAATATTTGTGACTCGGATTCCTAGAAGAATATAAGATTTCAGTAGTATGTTGCCATTTCACTATCTTCTATGCAGTCTTTTCAACTTGACTCCACAACTGCTCAGAAGCTATCATCCTTTCCTGACACCAGCTCCTCCATGTCACCCTCAGACGCCCGACACGTTCCCCCTTCGGCTTCCACTCGACGGTCTGACCTGGCGCGTGACGTCTCCAAGCGGTCTTCTCAGTGTGTCCCCAGTCCAATCCATCTCCACTTTCTTTTGCATATTTGTTGGACGGTCGGTTGTTGGTTGGTCCGTTGCCAGTCAGAGTTTCTTGCTACTTATTCTCATTATTTTGACCATCTGATCTTCAGTACCGAGCGTAGGCGGTAGCTGTTGATATATGTCTGCAGTTTGTTGGGAATGCTTTTCGTAACGCGCCGCGTCTCTCAACCATCACATAGAAGCGCTGGCTTGACATTAGTGCTGAAAATCCTGATCATGTTCACGCTTTATGCTGTGAGTGCAATGCAGTGCAGTAGATCTCACACTGATTTCAGACTAATGAAGACCTGTCTTGCCTTTCCGATCCTGGCCTTCACATCCTCATCTCTGCGGCCGCCTGCAGTTGAGACGATGATGCCTAGATAGCTGAAAGAGCCAACTTCATTTAGATCTTTCCCGTTGATAGTGATTGGTGCTCATTGTCGCTGTTGTTGGTGATGGCGGTTAGGTATCTTCATCACCTCCGTCTTCTCCACGTTCACCTGAAGTCCCGTCTTCCTTCGCCGCCCCTTCTGTCAACTTGTTGACAACTTGTGTAACCTTAGACATAAATCATCATCGGCGAAACCCAGATCTTCCTCTGGGGTATTTTCATCGGTCTGGCCAGCGTATACCCATCTTCTCGCTCCTCACAGTTTCTTACATGATCCAGTCCAGTCCAGTCGACCACAATCAGGAAGGTCGTCGGTGATAGTAGGCGGCTACCTTGTCTTACTCTTGTCTCCTGTCTTCAATTCAAAGGCGTCACTCAGCTTTCCATTGATATGCGGATCACTTGGCATGTATCATCGTACAGAATATAGCTGTTAAATGAGGATGATAAAGGTTTGTGGCAGTAGGACCGCAGTTTTTAAGCAACTGCCAAATTATTTCTAGTTCAACGCTATCAAATATATGCTAATTTATTTTTTTCTTCTAACTTAATGCTGTCAATCGGTTAACAAAATATATATACACAGAGGGTAAACTTCATACTCGGATTTAATCAGTTGATTAGTTCTCTTGATTCTACTAGAAAACCAAACTCATACCTGCTTACTATGAACTTCAGTAAGCAAAAGTAATGAACGAAAATGAGTTATGACTGGTTATAAGAGGAACTGAAACACCCAACTATTCAATATATATATATATATATATATATATATATATATATATATATATATATATATATATAATTACGTCAGGAAAGATATCATACTTTATCACAAGTTGCGCTAGTATCTCCCTTTGAATAAATTATTTTCTGATAAGTATCCACAAGAAATCTAGGAGAAAAGGTGTGAGTTTGTCTAGCAATATCGTTTAGTGGAAGGAGAGAAGAAGCCTCGTCTAATATTCGAACTACAGCGGTTTCGTCCCCAATATCCGCATAAGCAGAAAGTAGACCGTGATATGCAATTCTAGTTGGCCATAAACCGGATTCCGACAATATACTTTGAAAAGAAAGAGCTTCGTTGATTAGGCTGTAAAATAAAAACATTTTTGTGATAAAAATTAATGGGGAACTGGTATCATAAGATGGCGTCAAATTTTTTCGCATTTTACTTTGAAAAAACAGCTCAACATCGCTGTAACTATTGAAAGAGCGGTGAACTTCGAAATCATGTGCAAAAAATCAACATTGATTGGTGATCATTACTGGACTAATCTTTCCGTTTATTGGGTTTAGAACGAAGTGGAACGATATGGGCATCAGGAAATCCACTTTACAACAAAAGGTAGCATTAAGGGGGTATAAGGAGGGATGAATATTAAAAAAAACACAAAGACAAATGGTTTACGAAAGAAACAGTCTGTAAAATACATCCGAAGAACTTACAACTTTCATTTTACTTTTCGATAACAGAAACAAAAAAGCTTCAGCATGATCGCTACTGGTTTCCATTCTGAGCCATGGCTGCTATCATCTCAAACAACTAGGCAGCATGATCGCACCGAAAACATTTAAGGCGAACCAAAAACAATTATTCTTCAACCCACGATGCAACATCACACACTGGTCACCTTTTCAATTCCTTCAAGCCGTCCTACAGCAATCGAAAAGTGAACGATATGAGTCGCTGGGATGACGCTTATAACATTTGTCCAAGTCACTGAAGCCCATGTTTCAAGATTCCACTCAATAAATGACTATTTCTATCACATCGAAACACATCCCACCTTACCTCAGAATTATTAACATGTTTTCACCAGAAACCAGCAGGCCTGAGGAGACAACAGTGATAAACCGTCGTCGGACACCTTACCTAAAAGAGGCCAAGACTTCCAGATGTATGTGAGAAGTATCTACATCAATGTGTTACTTACCAACCTTTTACAACAAGACTAACGTCACAACGAAGCTAAAAGTAACCCGGATTGGCGTGTCACTGGTTTTCAACATACCACTGAAAATCACGTCGGTCGCACCCATAGTAACACTCACACAACTATCCCGATACAAACTTCCCAAAGGTTAACTACCAAGAGTAAGTATATGCTCATTTAAACCTTGTGAAAGCAGTTTTCACTTGAACAGTAAAAAGCATTCACCATACTGTACCCAATGTCCTGTTAGAATCATGTTGGAGACTCGCGAATGGGGGTATATTCTCATAAGATGTGATAGATGTATAAATATCCCATTTGGTCGGTCACTTGATAATTAGATAAAAAGAGAAACGTCTCAGTAAAATTTCAGCTAGAAAAGGGTGATCAGTGCTAAAAATATCGGGTTTTCTGGTAGTGAGGCATCAGCAATCAATGCTTTTGAGGTTGGTTTTCATGAGACAAGTGGCTTCACAAACAGCTCACTAGTCTGCTACACTAATACTCGTAGTTTCACGAATAAAATATTCGAGTCGAGGAACTTAGCTGCGTGCTCGAAACCTGATCTAATAGGGATCACTGGAACGTCGTTCACTGTAATTGTGCATGTCTCAATCTATCCCGGGTTATGTGCACACCAGGATGAACACGATGAGTATGCATAAGGATAGAAGTGGAATCCTATTTATTCAAGAGAATTTGAGTAAACGCTCAACTACATCTAACGTGCATTGCAGTGGTAGACGTTACATTCTTAGTTGCACAGCTATGGCTGTGGTTTAGATAGTTGAGTTTTAAACAGAAGGTAACAGGGCCGAACTGCGCTCCAACTATAGGAGTTTCAGCAGTCAGCATCACCAGCCCTTACACAATAGGTGTGACTCACTGCATTGTGTTTAGACACATGAACACAGGAAATTCAGTTCAGTTGGTTGCAAATTCAGGTTTAAGAAAGACATCTTGGTGATAAAAGCAATTTACTGAAGTTAGAAATATCTTGATACATAGTCGTGCTAAACTTAAGTAGAGCAATAGCAACATACTTAATTGTATAGGACCTTGGTTCACCCAATATAGTAAGGCAAAATGCCATAGACGGACATGTGTTTTGAATAAAATCTGTTATTAAGTGCTCTAAAGTGTGAATTCGCACAGAATGAGATAGAACAAAAAGCACACTCTTTTATACTTAGTTTATGCATATCAGCGTGATTTGGAAGATCTGATTACTTACCCCCATCGGTGAACAGTGATCATATCGTGATTGCTACTAGGTTTAACAGACAGAGCACTTTCCCTAAAGAAATTGTTTGAAGCACGGGTATAACAAGGATTCACGGTACCGCCAATCAGCCAAACTGATCTCTTGTGATAGATTTATCCGTAAAAGGGGCTTAGCATAGGCTTCGTAATACATTTGAAGCTTCAAAGTTACTGTTTATTCTTTGATCGACCCTTTGGAGACCTTCTTCGGTTAACACTCAAACTTAGAAGGTATTAGGAAGGAGAAAGCGTTCTTCGGACTTACTCATAGCTAAAAAGAAATGCTAAGGTTGGGGAACTCCAAGATTAGAAATACCTGTAGGGGTTTCCTCACTAGATGTTGCATAGCTTATGAAAGGTTAGTGTTGGTTGATCATCAGAGCTTTCCTAGACATCTATTCTCTCATGTTCATATTACGAGATGAACTTAAAGCCACGATGGGATCTCCATCCTACTACTTAATACGGGTACAGACTTAGTAAAGGAATCTAACGCAACTAAAACGGGAAGCTTATCTAATGGTCTTAGCCAATTTCATCTTGTCAACGTGAAAGATCAGCACACTACTCACTATAACTGCTGATAACACCCTTCTTCAAAAGGACTAGTTCCAATCATAAGAGACTACCCCAATTGTTAGAAAATTTTCAGGTTTAGAAGTCCCTGTACTCTGATGAGTTGCATACAGGATAATTGTAACTGTTGATCAGTATTTTATTGATGAACCATCGACTAGGCTCTTAAAAAAGGTACGTTTCTCAGAAGCCGCTTCTTTCTAAGTGTAGCATAGCTAGTCCTGTATATAGATGTGATACGTAATTAACTACCGACTAGTTGACCACATTAGAATTGTTATTACGGCAGTAGAGATATTTCAGGATAGTTTATAAAAGCTAAACTGCATCATCTGTGACGCCGAGATATCCAACTATCTATCAAAGGAAGAGCATACTGAGCTTCATTCCGTTCTGTCCTATTATACGGCTGTGACAAATAGCCGTTGAAAGTAGAAAACATGAATCAGTTACAGGGTTTTGATCATAAGTGTCAACGTAGCAATCTGGTGAATCCGCAAAATCCACCCTTCAAGTTTCTGGGGATTCGATGGCCAGCTCTCGTGATCTTGCAGGTGTAGGCATAGCATTAAGCACTAGGGCAGAAAACTCATCACTAGACTGGATCCCAGTTGATAGTCGCCTCTGTGCTGTCCAACTGAACGGCACAGTGAGAACTGAAAGGAGTAGTGAAACTCACCGCTTACACACCCACTGACTGCAGTTCGGATGCAGTGAAGGACGAGTTCTACAGAAAACTGTCTGCCTAACGGTGATCGGCCACTACAACTGTGCTCAGATAACCGCCTATTTTTAGCTAGAACAAATGTCAGACACAAAGAAAGACACTGGCTGACGTGGCGTCCACTGAGCCCAACTCAGCGATGGACACAGATAGACCACATTACTATCAGTCATCGCTAAAGAGGATCGGTACAAGACTGCCGCTCTTCCTACATACAGTACGGGTTTGGATAGCCACCATGCGGTGGTCCGAGCGCCTATTTGCCTGCGTCTCTCCATAGATGTAGGAAAAATTTGGCAACAAAACCTCTACGAGTGCAGCTCGATAACGAAAACACCGAAGTCCCTTTCAGTGAGAAATTGGCTAGGCAGTTATCGGAACAGAACAATACCACTCATCCAGAAGAAGCTTGGTGCCACCTCCAGTCTGCTGTAAACGCAGTGCTGAAGACCGCAGCTGACTCCGAAAACGTGGCTAAAAAGAGTCAGTGGATATCAGCAGCTCCTTCCGAACTAATGCATGCACTTGGACGCATCCCTCAAGGCTCTGAGTACAATGAAGAGCGAGCGCAACTTAAAAGCAGATTGAGAAAAAGTCTATGCAACGACCGCAAAATGTGGTGGACAGCGAAGGCTAAAGAGAAAGAAAAGGCAGCGGCGACTTGTAACAGTAGACAGTTACTTAGACTTTTAAGGAAACTGGGGGGAAACGTCAACAACGGTTAGTGAGACTATTGCGGAGAAGGACAGGTCTGCGACTCACTCACAGGAAACGACCAGAACGATAGGCAAAACACCTCGAGGAGCAGTTTAACTGGCCTCCAGCCACCATCGCGTTGCCCGCTATCCAGTCGAACCCTGAATGGAACATTGAGATAGGCCTCCAATACTAGCAGAAGTCGAGAAAGCGGTAAGTAACCTGAAACAAGGAAGGGCGGAACGACCAGACGGACTAACTCCAGAGGTATACAACGATGATGGTAAGGTGCTCTTAGTCAGGTTAACGGAAGTGTTAACCAGTATATGGGAATCAAATACGACCCATTATAACTGGTCTAAATCACTCATTATCCCAGTCTTCAAGAAAGGCGAGAAGTCCTCTTGTGATAACCACAGATGAATCAGCCTGACGAATATAGTGTCCAACATCCTAGGTTCTATAATTCTTCGACGCCTAAGTAGAGCTCGGGAACAGCAAGCCAGAGAAAACAAGGCAGGCTTTAGACCCGGTCGCGGGTGTATTGACCAAATATTCACACTACACCAGGTTCTGGAACACAGGCATGCTTACCGACGCCCGACAATACCTGTACTTTTCGACCTGAAGGCGATATTCAACTCTGTTGATCGAGAAGTTCTGTGGCAATTTCTCTCACTGAGTAAGTACATCACCTTATTGAAGGTTCTCTACTCGAACATTTGTGGGCGTGTTAGAGCCTATGGTGAGATGCCCGGGGAGCTGTGCTCATCGAGTGGCGTCCATCAAGGCTGTCTACTGTCTCTATTCATAGTCAATTTTATCGTAGATATTCTCATGAAAGTCTCCCTTTCGTTACCCGATTACACAGAGGTTGACCCAATCGCAGGAAATTTTCGTTAGACCTAAAATATGCAGATGACGTAGTCCCGTAAGGTGAAGACGCTGACAAGATGCAGAGTATTCTGAACACTTTGAGTCGCAATTTGAGAATGTTTGGGATGAGTTTCTTACCACCCAAATGCCAATTGTTGCTCCAGAACTGGTCTTCAACGGTGCCACGACTAGTAATAGAGTGCGTTGACCACTTACTTCACTTACCTGGGAAGTTGGATCAGCCCTGATGGCTCAGTGGCCGATGAAATCTCTGCATGAATACATAAAGCTCGACTGACTTTTGCCACCTTAAGCCACATGTGGCGCCGCCATAATATCTGACTGTCTATTAAGGATCGCGTGTACTGCTCTGCTTTACTCTATGGCATTGAAACATGGTCACCGAAGGTCGAAGACTTGAGAAGGCTTCAGGTGTTTGACTACTGTTGCCTTCGTAGTATAGGCCAGATTCAGTGGTGCCAACACGTGAGTAACGCAGAAGTCAGGTGCAGAGTTTTAGGGAGATGAGATAAATCAGTTGATGCGGTTATGAACCTTCATCGACTGAGATAGTTGGGACACCTATTGCGTATGCCTAGTCACCGATCGCCTCGTCATACAATGTTCACCGAAGCAGGTCCAGGCTGGAAAAAGGCCAGAGGGGGCCAGACTAAAACGCGGAATCAATGTATGAAGTCTCTGACAGTTGGTTTAAGCCGAGTGGGACGATGCAGACTAGCCGTTTGGGGTCTGCGAGACAAGGGAAACCAGTGGTTGGAGATTAACTCTTGGCGATATGGCTCAGAACCGATGTCAGTGGCGCAGATGTATACATACATTAACGACACCATACCAAATCTCACCATTTTCTCATTCTTCCTTCCTCTCTTTTAGTACCTTGTATTTCTTTTCACTGAATTTTCTTCTCTTCATCTTCCACTTCACTGCCTTTTTACTTGATGTAATGATATGAGTTGTTGCAACTCGGACCGTTATGCATTAATGCCTGGTCCTATGTTGACATGGATGAATAGATGGAATCACCGTGCAAAGCAACCCTAGAGTCAAGTGGAAAACAATAGGTAAGACAGGCAAGTCGATTGAGGAGGTTATGAACCTTAGTCGACTGAGATGGCTAGGACATATCCTGAGATTGCCGCCCACCTACCTAGATTTGTCATCATGGAGGAAGTTGGATCACGTTGGATGACGGTTCAGGATGGTCAGACCAAAACGTGGCACCGGTCGATGGAGTCTCTGACTGTTGGTCTGAGTCGTATGGAGACGTAGACTGCCTGGTTGAGGTCCCTGAGGAGAAAGGAATGAGTGGTTGAGGACTGAGTCTTGGTGACATGACTGAAAATCGGCCGATATACTGCACATGTATTCACTCCGTGACGTCTTCTAAAGCTTGAATGTACGCACTAACCATTGTCTTTAAATCACGCGCTTTCACAGCCTCTGCCAGAGAAGTTCTATTAACTGCCTTCAAGTGGCCGGGGTGCTTTCACAGATGTGGAAGGGCGCAAGCCAATGTCCGGCGCTTATCGTCACACTCATGGATACTAAAGGTTCACACACGGGCCTATACCTAGGAGCGTTCCTCAGGGCACTAATCTAGATCTCCACCTGCTCCGAGATGCTAATTAATTGCCAAAGATGCTTAGTTTATCATCGTTAGTATTTGCTGGTGACGTCAAGTTCTGAACAGTCATTCGTGCCAGTAATAACAGGTCTGAACTTACAAGCTCACCTTGATGAACTGAATGAAAGGTTTAAACGATAGATTCTAGAAATCAGCTGCAGAAAAAGTGCTATTACACACCGCGTATAGGCACTCTGGTTGCCGCCCAGTAATCATCTATTCCTTCGCGCAATGTTGATTGAAGTCGAGGTCAGGAAGACGGTTAAAAACGATCGAACTAAAACATGGCACCAGTGCTCAGGACGGATAGTTTTAGCTGCGTATGAAAACCTAGCCCTGTGTGTTGGGGTCTGTGTGATAACTGAAACCAATGAGCTCACAACTAATCATAGTGGTCCAGGTGCTTCCACATATCAGATTCATCTCAATCGTGATATCGTATTTCTTCATTGTTTAGTTCCCTTCTCTTCTCTTTTTATAACTCTACTACTTTTGATTACTCCCCAATTTCTTCATCTTATCTTTCACTTTTGTGCGGTCACTCTTGATGTGCTGAGATGAGGTGCGGCAACTAAAACCATTATACACTAATTCTAGGTCTTACGTTGATAGTAACTGATCATGAATAAATTACTTTCACTTTACATTCTAAACCAAAAAGACTTTTGTTATCATGAGTCACGATTTGAAGGCATATTGCATTGAGCTTGCAGCTTGAGTATCGATCGTATGCTTTAGTTGCTTGCTTCGTATAACACTCAAATACTTTGATGAAGGTCTCTCTAGGATTTCATACTGTATGTTTGTGAAACTTCATTCAGAGTATCGTATCCATTACTAGACTATTTCATGTAAAAGGTGATACGCTGGAACGCAACTAAGGAGTAAATACGAAGTTAGTAACAGAATTTGCCCACTCCTATAAAGAGCAAATCGCACTTTTTTCACTTGTCTTATCGCAGAATAAAAGCGACCTTATTTAAGTACTTCATTTCTTGAATAATTATCTACGTATGGGTTTATCTAACACTTTTATTTTCTCCACGACTGATTATCACAGGAACGACTAAGGAAAGATTAAGAAGCTATCATCAAACCATTTCCAAGTCAAACACCAGTCTCCTCACAGTCTCAAAAAACCACAACTCGCAAACGGTACAAGTGATAGCACTACCTTCGGTGAAAACTTCACGAGGAAACTAGGTCCCACACAGATAGTTACTGCAAGGATTACCAAAGACTTCCTACCTATTATTACTAACATTGAATACTCATAAAATCGAACGCCACCTTTAGGTCAAGAAATATGCCGGTAAGTCTCCACTTCAAACCGGTCGGAAAACTAAACTCTCACTCATGAATGAAACCTAGTTTGTTTTCTCGAGCTTTGTGTTCTCGAAGTAGAGTTACATATCAGGTGACCATAAACCACAGGCTATTAAAAACTCTGTTAGTCAGACTGATTCTTCTGTGGTTATCACAGATAAAATCTTCCTTAGAAACTGGGATGATTACCGACTTAGGCCGGGATGATTGGATTACCAACGACATGTTCTTCAAATCAACAGAAGATAAACTGATTTAAGCAGCCGAAGTATGTTACACATCAATAGCTAATTCCTACCTTATTTTATAAGAGCTAGAATAGCAGGACGAAGGGAATTTCATAAAAGTTCGGCCAAGGAATAGGACGGGTTCGGGAAGTGATTCCCTACCATCTAATGTACGAAAGAAGCAAGACTTGTTAGTAATCAGCAATGTGACTAACATCGGCGATCCAAATTATTAAGTGATAGTGCTAGATGTTACACCGTGACCATGAAATGAGATTATTCACTGTATTTTTGAAACTTCATGAACAATATTCGGTGGTTCACTGGTTACGATGTCAGCTGCGACCACGTATCTTATCCATAAACCGTTGGAACCATTTGACTGAAGTGAGGAAGAATTTCTTGACTCATATTTATCAACAGCTCATGACGTGGACCTATATTCCGAGAATATTGAGGGAGAAGGAAACGATGCTCAAAACCTATTTATTTCGTTGCGTTTTAGTACCTAGCTTGATGTCTAAGTATCACTTTAGAAGCTAATAAAGCATCAGCACGGAATAACCTCATATATCATGGAAAAAACTTTGAAAATTGGGTGATAGAAGCGTAACTAACCCAGCTTTAATATAACCATAAAGCATAGAAGAAGAAATATAAACGTTTGTCTCCATTCCAAAACCTTTGAGTGAACGCACAAGCAACCTGGAAGCGAATAATCTAAAGATTTTTCCTTACGCTGCTTGTTCAACATCTCCTACGGCACAGCTTTGAAGAACAAATAAGCGAAAAATTGTCTAGGAACGATAACAAGTAAGGATGAACATACCTTAGTGGGTTTCATATCAGCTTTCTTAAGGTCATTCAAAACCTCATTCACGTCGAATTTAAGACCTGCGATAATTCTCATGCTTAAATATTTCTCCGCAAGTGCGATACTGCCAGCTGCAAGTAATTAACAACAGGATAAGAATACCTTTCAGGACTTCATTCCATATACCAGGCATGACACTTTTAAGTTCCTCCGCACAATAGAAAACTGCATTTACTTTATACGATAGTAAGAAGCTTTTGACTTCGGAAAGACTCGTCAGTGTGTTGCCGTGGAGTGTGCTCAAGTTAAGACATAACATCGGATCACATTGATTTGGAGTGGGAAACAATGTCCGTTTGTAACTATCAGTAACAAACTAAGTAATAACTATGAGGTACCTGAGTACAGCTCTGTAACCAGGTATTCGATGCTGTATATATGAATAAAGGCGGGATATCAACATTGTAACGACCAGTTGTTGATAGGTTTTCGTCTAGCTTGTATATGTACGTTGTTGCAGATACGCAAATCCAGTGGTGACCACGAAGATCGGAAAGCGAAAAGAGGAAGAAAAAATACGAGGGGATGACTCATACAGGATACACTAACATTTAATAGCATACTTAGAAAAGAGAAGTGACAAACAATCGTCACTATATCGCACGGTACAGCTTGACGACTAGGAGGTGAGACAGCTTAGAAACCGAGACTTGAAAGTGAATGATTAAGGTTCCGAATGTGTTACAACATGACATAACGTTGCCACTACCTAGTCTCTGTCGCAGGACGCCACCCCAACCGTGCCAAATGGAATACCAAACTTCGCGCGTTTACGAGCGTTAACTGTCGTTGCTCTGATTTTCAGTACGATACAGCCCTCAGAAAAGCCAATGCGTTAGTTTTTAATCGCATCCTAATGCCCTGTCGTCATTTGATTGATATGCAGAGAATTCTGTCTCCTGACGTTGATAGGTCTTCTGAGACATTAGTTCACTTCTTTGCAGATATATTACGAAGCTACAAAATGGTTACGAGACTATAACCACGCACGTATTGAACGTCACCTGAAGACTTTGAACATTAAAGAAATGCGAATGCTTACTTCTACAATGATGTATGAAATGCAGTTATTGGCTTGGGAAAACTCGGAGAGAGCACGTAGACTGTAGTTATAGGCTTACACCAGAGCTTATAAGGATCACCACCTACAGGGTTAATCTTCAGTAACCTCACAGACTGCTGAATACCCGCTAACTACTTACGTACATACTATCCCATTCCTTGAATAAGTTTTGAATACATTTTCCATTGTTCATTGAAGCGGAAAGTGATGGGTTAAAGTGATAGCAGTAGCAATGGGAGGACTCGCTGCTGTATTATGATCAAAGGGTAAAGGCACTTGACCATTAACCGGTGCGTTATACTTTCGAAGTTTGCCCCACCAGCGACAGTTTGATCAGCCAAGTTGCCCAGCTGGCGTCGCAAAGTAGGAGTGCTTTCTAAACTAAGTAGCTGTGTTACTTCTGAGGTCGTCACCTCGTGGGGACTACCCATCACATGGAGCCCTCGACATTTGCTTCTGCACAACAACTGTCCTTGTGCACCATAATTTACCCTCTAAGTCTACTCGAGTGCCAACTAAAAGTTTGTCTCACATCTCTGAAACACAGGCCGACACCGGAAGCATCAGCATGGGAAGAGGGTCAGTCGCTTGCCGTTTACACCTTCCATACTTCACTATGCAACCTGACGACATTCAAAGAAGCACTGACAAATTGCTCAGAAACTTATTTCCATGAAAGCAACATTCTTTAGAAATACACGAAACAGTATAAATACCAGGTATTAAGGTTGGGTCCTGTATAGTTCAGAGACTTGGTGCGTTACGTAAAGCATTTCCAACAAACTGCAGACATTCATCGACAACTGCCTACCCTCGTTACTGAAGATCAGATGGCCAGAATAATAAGAATAAGCAACAAGGAACTCACTCGGGCTGGCGACGAACCAACCAAGAACCCATCACCCAACAGATATGCAGAAGGAAGTGTAGATGGCTTGGGCACACACTGAGAAGGTCGATTGAGGACATCACGCACCAAGCCAGTCACTCGAGTGGAACCCAGATGAGAAGCGACTAGTTGGACGTCCAAGGTGAGGATGACATGGAGGAGATCGTGCGAGGGGGAAATGAGAGCTACTGGGCTGTCATGGGGCCAGGTTCAAGAGGTTGCAGAGAAGAGAGCGCAATGGATGCGTGCTGCTACTGCCCTATTTTCCACTAGGAATCCAAGGGATAAATAATAATAAGGTTGGGTCCAGACGTCTATTACTCTGCAAAAGAATGATCGCCTGCCTTCAGCATACTCCTGCTCTAAGACAGGCTTCATGTCCTACCGTTGTATCAAAGCCCATGACTTTCCGTTCAATTATTAATAGGACAGAATTAAAAGTAACTTTAACAATTCATTTCGAGTAAAGAATCGTGCGAAAGTATGCCACCCAACAGGCAACAATTTATGTGAGGCTGAGAAAATTTTAAAAAATAAATAGTCACGCCATGCGGACTCCCCCGGAGTAGGCAGCTGTTCATGTGTTACTACTCATACATCATTCCCAGCCACCTTACTATGACACATTCGCGACTGCTGATATTTGTTCGGGGACAACATCACAAAAACAGTCTCCATTACCATTAAAATGTTGGGACCGACAATTTCCCGTTTCGCCCACAAGGAGATATCCTACGGGTTTTCACAGTTATATGGAGATGGATAACACGCATAATATTATTGTTTGTTCCTCGGATTCCTAGTAGTATGTTGCCATTTCACTATCTTCTATGCAGTCTTTTCAACTTGGCTCCACAACTGCTCAGAAGCTATCATCCTTTCCTGACACCAGCTCCTCCATGTCACCCTCAGACGCCCGACACGTCGTTCCCCCTTCGGCTTCCACTCGACGGTCTGACCTGGCGCGTGGCGTCTCCAAGCGGTCTTCTCAGTGTGTCCCCAGTCCAATCCATCTCCACTTTCTTTTGCATATTTGTTGGACGGTCGGTTGTTGGTTGGTCCGTTGCCAGTCAGAGTTTCTTGCTACTTATTCTCATTATTTTGACCATCTGATCTTCAGTACCGAGCGTAGGCGGTAGCTGTTGATATATGTCTGCAGTTTGTTGGGAATGCTTTTCGTAACGCGCCGCGTCTCTCAACCATCACATAGAAGCGCTGGCTTGACATTAGTGCTGAAAATCCTGATCATGTTCACGCTTTATGCTGTGAGTGCAATGCAGTGCAGTAGATCTCACACTGATTTCAGACTAATGAAGACCTGTCTTGCCTTTCCGATCCTGGCCTTCACATCCTCATCTCTGCGGCCGCCTGCAGTTGAGACGATGATGCCTAGATAGCTGAAAGAGCCAACTTCATTTAGATCTTTCCCGTTGATAGTGATTGGTGCTCATTGTCGCTGTTGTTGGTGATGGCGGTTAGGTATCTTCATCACCTCCGTCTTCTCCACGTTCACCTGAAGTCCCGTCTTCCTTCGCCGCCCCTTCTGTCAACTTGTTGACAACTTGTGTAACCTTAGACATAAATCATCATCGGCGAAACCCAGATCTTCCTCTGGGGTATTTTCATCGGTCTGGCCAGCGTATACCCATCTTCTCGCTCCTCACAGTTTCTTACATGATCCAGTCCAGTCCAGTCGACCACAATCAGGAAGGTCGTCGGTGATAGTAGGCGGCTACCTTGTCTTACTCTTGTCTCCTGTCTTCAATTCAAAGGCGTCACTCAGCTTTCCATTGATATGCGGATCACTTGGCATGTATCATCGTACAGAATATAGCTGTTAAATGAGGATGATAAAGGTTTGTGGCAGTAGAACCGCAGTTTTTAAGCAACTGCCAAATTACTTCAAGGTCGACGCTGCCGAAGGCCTTTTCAAAGTCGATGAAGTTGAGGTCGATTTGACTGCCATTTCAAACTCTTTCCTGTGATGATGTGTAGCGTAGCTCCGCAATTTGATCCGCACGTGATTTGGCTTACCTGATGCTAGGTAGCCTGTTCCGGTATTTATTTCGAATTCGGAGCATTGTTTAGTCTCTCCAGGTTGATGTTGCCTAATATTTTGCTTGCTCTGGGTGGAGAGGGATAGCAGCATGATTCCACACCAGTTCTTGCTAAGGCTTAGGTCGCCCATCCTTGTTTGAGAGCTTGACGAGGCAACCCTTCCTTCCCACCCCTTAAACCCTCTGCAGTGGTCGGGAGAGCATGTCCGGTGTTGCCTCCGCGTCTGTTTTCAGTGCTTCTGGGGGAATTTGATCTGGTCCTGCTACTTTCCCGGATTTCAGCAGCTTTCTGGGGTTCAAGACTTCGGCTTTTACGGGAACGCTTGTGTTCACCGGTAGTTTTGTGACTGGGCTGCTGGTGATATTTCTGGATGAGTTGCAGGTGGTAGTGGTCGACTGAAGAGTGTTTTGAAGTGGTCAGTTCATCGTTCCCTTTGTTTCCTCTCTTTGCTAACCAAGTTTCTTTCACCATCCCCCATTTGTTCCATCTGCAGTGATCTTCTCCCGTTTAGTGGTAGCCTGATTATTTGATGTGATGTTGTCAGGTCTCTGCCTGTCCCATCAGAAGCCTGTTGCGTTTTACAAGTGTCTTTTATCTTTGCACGCACTCTTCATTTCTTTGTCCGGTTTGGCGTTTGATATTTTGCACCCCGTTCCTCTTTTCGTCGTTCATTCCCTCACCTCACTGGTTTATCTTCTGTTTCATCATCTTCTACTCTCTGCTTTGTCAGCCTACATGTGTCCATCGAGATCCATTCCTTGTCTTGTTTCTTCTTCCTTCCCAACACGGTTATGCAGGTTTCCTTCCACATCTCCTTCAAAGAGTTAAAGCGTTTCCCCCCGCAGGTTCCTCCAAAAATGTTGCTTAATGCCCTCCATTTCGTCCTAATAGCTGACGTGAACATGTCGTTTGAAGTTTCTTCCTTCAGTTTCTGTTATGGGTGTTGAACTTGAACTGTGGTGTATCGCCAAATTCTTTCAAGGCTTTCAACTTGATTTTGAAGGCAGGTTGCTTGAATTAGGTAGTGAGTGGTGTGAACCTACATCTGCTCCTCTTCTTGATCTGATCTTGTTTCCGGTAGGCTGGCTGCGTCTCCACTTTCTCCACATTGAGGTGAAGTCGATCTGATTTTTAGTGTAGTGTGTCCTGGTATCTGGTGAAGTCCATGTCGCTTTGTGAATACCCTTGTGTTTGAACACACTGCCTCTAGTCACCAAATCATTGAGGGTGCAGAATTCTGCAAATATTTCTCTATTTTCGTTCATCTCGCCGGGTGCTTCTTGACCCATGATCAGTTCTCTTCCTTTATGGTCCGTTCCCAATTTGGCATTCATATCACCCCACCAGTTAGAACTTCGATTTCACCGTCGTCAACTGAAGTCTTGTCTGGAAC